ATTCTAGGATTGGTTCTTTTCCGGAGGAGAAAATCGTTCCAAAGAACTGAGATTGAATGTTAGTTTCTTGTTTTTAGGTCTTTAAAGTTTGCTTTGGTTATAAACATATTCTCACTAAGCCAAGAGAGGAATCAAGAAGAAGCATAACTAGTACACCTTTGTTTTGCAGCTGATAGTGATATTTCCACTGAACATTCATCGCAATACGATTTTAAGAGAATTGAAGCCGCAACCAACAAGTTTTCACCGAGCAAGAAGCTCGGACAGGGTGGATTTGGCGAGGTTTACAAGGTAAGGAGATTTTTGTTTTCCAATGTTGTTTCAAAGTAATTATGAAAAAAAAAAAAAAAAACCCGCGATGTTTGTTTCTCATTCAATGGTATCATGAAGGGTGAGTTTGCAAATGGAACTGAAGTAGCTGTGAAGAGACTGTCTAAAAATTCAGGACAGGGCACAAGAGAGTTCAGGAACGAGGCTGTTCTTGTGTCAAAACTTCAACATAGGAATCTGGTCAGGCTTCTTGGATTCTGTTTGGAAGGAGAAGAAAAGATTCTCATCTATGAGTTTGTTCCCAACAAAAGCCTTGACTATTTCCTATTCGGTATGGTTCCCTTCTAAAGCTTGCATTCCAAGTATTGTTCTTCGGCTTAAAAATGATTGGTTTGTGCAGATCCTTCAAAGCAAGGTCAGCTAGATTGGACTCTACGATACAAGATCATTGGAGGGATTGCTAGAGGGATTCTATATCTTCATCAAGATTCACAGCTCACAATCATTCATCGTGATCTCAAAGCCAGCAACATTCTCTTGGATGCGGATATGAACCCGAAAATTTCAGATTTTGGATTGTCGACGATCTTTGGAATGGAGCAAACTCGAGGCAATACCAACAGAATTGCTGGAACCTAGTAAGTTCTGCTCATAATATCTGTGAACACACAAACTTTTCTAAAACTTATTAACCTTGAGTTGCATAATATTTTTGCAGTGCTTACATGTCTCCTGAGTATGCAATGCATGGTCAATACTCCATGAAATCTGACATCTACAGCTTCGGAGTCTTAGTTATTGAGATTATAAGCGGCAAGAAAAACAGCGGCGTCTACCAGATGGATGAAACTAGTACTGCTGGAAACTTGGTCACTTATGTGAGCGTAAATACTTTAGGTTTCAATCATTTAGCATCTTTAAACATATGACTAATTTTCTTGATTTCTCATTGTGTTAGGCTTGGAGGCTTTGGAGAAACGGGACTCCATTAGAGCTGGTGGATCCGGCCATTGGAAGGAATTATGAAAGAAATGAAGTCACTAGATGCATCCACATCGCGCTCTTATGTATTCAAGAAAATCCAGAAGACCGTCCAATGTTATCAACTATCATCTTAATGCTCACTAGCAGTACAGTCACTTTACCACTGCCTCGGTTACCAGGGTTTTTCCCACGAAGCATGCGCCAAGTTGACCCGGTATCTGAGACACTACAGTCGGATCAGTCTTGAAGCAAGTCTTTTCCTCATTTAGTTCGTAAAAAGTGATATGTTTCTTTACCACATCTGAAAAGTTGAAACACGTAAAATTGTCTGAAAATATTTAACTAATTTCACCATGCACATTAGAAACATAGTAATTCTTTTTGTAATCATATGTTGTAATGTAAACTGTAACATGCTATGGTCAGTTCTGTAAGAAAAGTTTTTGGTGTGAAGACAAACATGAATGTCATTGAAAAGTCTTGTCCAATTTTAAGTCAATAGGTTCAGGTTTTATTTACTCTTGAAGCTGATTCAATGTTTTTTTTTTGTTTTTTTTATCACTGTGTTAAGCTTAATTAGTAGAATAGAGGGTAATTTGGCAAAATCAAGTCACTGTTAATTTGTTCTCAAGAAGAAACGTATAGTATACAACTCAAACTGTATATGCTTGTGTTTACAATTACAATACAAAAGGCTACTAAGAAAAAAGTTCAACTTATGTTCAACACCAGTTGATTTAGTAATCAGGCATGAATTGGTAAAGATTCATCTTCATCGAGTATATACATCTGTGATCGAGGCATCATCAACAGACCCTAGAAGAGACTTGCTCGTTGTAGATTTCTCTGAATCAAGTGGGTCTTTTCCGATTCTACTCTGAAAGAACAGACCTGGTTGCCTAGGCACTGGTAAAGTCACAGTATTACTAGTGAGCATCAGAACAATGGTTGACAAGGTCGGACGCTCCACAGGATCTTCTTGAACACACAAAAGACCGATATGGATGCATCGAACAACTTCATTTCTTTGGCAATTCTCTCTGATAATTGGATCCACGAGGTCTAGGGGTGTTCCATTATTCCAAAGCCCCCACGCCTAGAAAAAAAATCAATCAATCAATCAACACTTGCACCCATGGTCAGGTAAATATGGAACTTGAATAGCTCAAAACTTACATATGAGACTAAGTCATGTGCGCCGTCTGTTTGGTAGAAGCTGTTATTCTTCTTTCCGCTTATAATCTCAAGAACTAACACTCCAAAGCTATAGATATCAGATTTCATCGAGTACTGACCGTGCATTGCATACTCCGGAGACATGTATCCACTGAATATAGCCACGGCAAAACTTTAGTATTTTGGTTCAAAATGTTTCATCAAAACTTCAACGTGTGAGGATTTATAAGGAAGACTTACTAGGTCCCAACTATTCTGCTTGTGTTCTGCTCGGTTTGGTCCATTCCAAAGATCCTTGCCATTCCAAAATCAGCTATTTTTGGATTCATATCCGCATCCAGGAGAACGTTACTGGCTTTGAGGTCACGGTGTATGATTGTAAGCCGTGAATCTTGATGAAGATATATAATTCCTCTAGCAATTCCTCCTATGATTTTGTATCGTCGGCTCCAATCTAGCTGAGCTTGCTTTGCAGGGTCTGTGGACACCATTATGTTAACGTTAGCTCTAAAGACTTGCAAGACAAGTTTTAAGAATTGGCTAAAGAATCATAGCATAGCACTGATCACAAGATTCACAACTCACCGAACAAGAAGTAATCAAGGCTTTTGTTGGGAACATACTCGTAGACAAGCACCCTTTCTTCTCCTTGTAGACAAAATCCAAGAAGTCTAACGAGATTTCTATGCTGTAGCTTTGCAACAAGAACAACCTCATTCTTGAACTCTGCTTCACCTTGTCCTGATGACTTTGACAGTCTTTTCACTGCAACTTCAGTCCCATCCGATAATGTACCCTGTTAATTTCATTAGATCTCATTATCACAATGTTTTGGCACAAAATTTCAAGAGAAACAAAAAAGACACAAGCTCAAGGCAGCTAAGGAACTATAATTACCTCGTAAACCTCACCAAAACCACCTTCACCTATCTTATTACTCTCTGCAAAATCATTTGTTGCAGCTTGGATTGTTCCATAATCCAGCTGCAGCGACTCTACGGTTGTTATATCATCTCCTGGTGCACAACGAAAGTCTTAGAATCAAGAAAAAGAAGCTGAGCATTGACATGAATCACAATCCTAACCTAATTGAAAGAATGTTCATCATCTGAAATCATTACCATCAAATTCAGATGCTGTGCCATAAGTCTTCTTTGCCCTCTTTGCAAGGAAACAGTAACCAGCTATGAAAAGCAGAACAGCTACGATAACAGGCACAACAATGGCTAACACTACCACACTTGAGATCCCACTTTTCCCTGCTTTTCCAAACAACATTTGATTAAGATCAGACAATGGCAGACGAATAAAAAATTAAAAATTCGGTCAAAAGAACAAAGCTGCTAATTTAGGGCAAAACATAGAGGAAAAACAGAGGAAGAAGACAGAGCTCTGACCAGATCGCGGAGGAGTAGAAACCGGCGGCGGTGTTGGTGTTGTAACTGCGGATTCGTTGTAGAACGGGTAAAGGTCGAATCTTGAACTACAGCTCGGAACAATAAATCTTCCCCCAATTTTGTCAGTTGGTAATTGATTGATAGATTGTTGCAGACACCTCGAACAGTCTTGTCTCGTAAGATCAGGAGTGCACTGAACCAGGCCGTACAAACTCTGAGGTCCAGTCCAATTGGCCATTCTCGCATCGAATTTTCTGGAACTGCTCGCGGCGTCAGCTGCGGCTTGGGTCATGGTGGACAACACCAAATCTCTGAACCGGTCTGCTTGGTTAGATGTAATATCTTGGGTGTTCGATAAGCGCACTCCTCCATCGGTGCTTAGAGTCGAGAGAAAATTCCGGTTAGAGTATCTGACCGTACACTCATCGTAATAGAGCACGACCTCTCTCTGATTCGGACACCGATTTAAGGTGTCGTTGACGATAAAGGCGACGCAGCTACGGCAAACTTCCGGCGAGAGGTCTCCACGGCAAAGGAAAGTTCCGGTGACTCTGTTGGGGGCTTGTCCGGCTGTGGCGTTGTAGAATCCGGTGGAGTAAGAGGCGTTGCGGGAAGAGAGAGAAGACAAAACGGTGTTGAGATTGGTGAAGTAAGTGCTGTTTCCGGAGAAAGTTGTCGTATTTGGACAAACATGGTATACGTAATTAGGATCTTGAGCAGAAACTGTGACGCTTGTGAGAAAGGCGAAGAGGAAAAGGGAAATCAGAGAGGCGCAACAAGACATAACTGCGTCTAATCGATTTCTTGTTTCTCGTCAAGCTTTGGGAAACTCCGAATATACTTGTAAAATAATAATACTTGAATTTTGTTCTCTCTCTCTGCAAGCAGAGGATTGGTTTTGTTTTGTGACGAGTGACGACGAAAAGTCAAGGTCAAAGTCAAAGCCTCTTGCCTTGTCAAACTTGTGGTCAGCTACTAATCCATTGTTTGATCTGGTCATTAGAAGGAAAAGAGAGTCAAGAAAGATACTATTTTATTGAATTACACTGGCAATCAACGATGGTGATTTATTTGATTTCAGGTCACCTATATAAAAATGTAAAGCTAAAGAGTTTACAACTTTTTTTAGTGATAGTAAATTGGTTCATCCTTGAAAGTAATTAAACACAATATTCAACGAGGATATAAATCAGTGATGGATGAATCATCAACAGACGTTGCCACAGACTTGTTTGTAGTAGATGGATCTGAATCAAGCGGGTCTCTCTCGGGTCTACTCTGAACGAAAAATCCGGGTTGTTGAGGCACTGGTATAGTCACGGTATTACTAGTGAGCATCATGAAAATGGTTTGCATGGTCGGACGATCTACAGGATCTTCTTGAACACATAAAAGACCGATATGGATGCATCGAACCACTTCATTCCTCTGGCAGTTATCTACAATAACTGGATCCACGAGGTCTAACGCTGTTCCGTTACTCCAAAGTCTCCAAGCCTATATAATATATCAACCAATCAGTTTTTGGCAACCATTGATTATTGTAAGACTAGACGTCAATATAAAACATACATGTGTCACCAAGGCATGTGTGCCGTCCGTCGCGTAGAAGCTGCTGTTCTTTCGACCGCTTATAATCTCAAGAACTAACACTCCAAAGCTATAGACATCTGATTTCATTGAGAACTGTCCATTCATCGCATATTCAGGAGACATGTAACCGCTAATACGCACAATAAGACCTTTAGAATATAAACAGTCTTTGAAACTATGAGAAGTTAAAGTGGAAGACTTACTAAGTCCCAACTATTCTGCTTGTGTTCTCCTGTGTTTGGTCCATTCCAAAGATCCTTGCCATTCCGAAATCAGCGATTTTCGGATTCATATCAGCATCCAGAAGAACGTTACTCGCTTTGAGGTCACGGTGTATGATGGTGAGCCGTGAATCTTGATGAAGATATAGAATTCCCCTAGCAATCCCTCCAATGATCTTGTATCGTCTAGTCCGCCAGTCCAGTAGACCTTGCTTTGCAGGGTCTGTGTGTGCCCATCCATGATGAAATATTACACTTAAATCTAAAGAAATTTCAAGAATCATTGGGAAAAAAAAACAATAAATGGAACTGACCAGAGAGGAAGTAATCAAGGCTTTTGTTAGGCACATACTCGTAGACTAGTACCCTTTCTTCTCCTTGAAGAGAAAATCCGAGAAGCCTAACAAGATTTCTGTGTTGAAGCTTTGCAACAACAACAACCTCGTTCTTGAACTCTGTGTCACCTTGTCTGGATGTTTTTGACAGTCTCTTCACCGCTACTTCAGTCCCATCCCAAAATGTACCCTATCCATTTTCATCTCGTTATCTAAATGTATGTGTTTTATTGATACAAACAACCTCAGGCGTATAAATTAATTAAATAAGTAATAGTGATGTATGATAAGTAAATACCTTGTAAACCACGCCAAATCCACCTCGACCAATCCTGTTGCTCTGTGAAAAATCGTTTGTTGCTGCTTGAATTGTTCTATAATCAAGTTGCAGCGACTCTGCGGTTGTACAATAAACGTCGTAGTAATCAGATTAGAAGAGAAAAAAAGAAACATTAACTAAACACAATTAAGATGGTGAATCGTTCAAAGCTTTACCATCACAGGCTGGTGCAATATCAGAAGTCTTCTTTGCCCTCTTTGCAAAGAAACAATAGCCAGCTATGAAAAGCAGAACAGGCACAATAATAGGCACAACAATGGATACCGCTAGCATATTTGAATTCCCACTTTTCCCTGCGTTTTAAAGATCATTTGCTTAGACTCAATCCGAAGCACAAAAAAAAAAACAAAATCGTATTGCAAATTTTGGAGAAAACAGAGGAAGAAGAAAGAGCTCACTAGGTCGTGGAGTAGATGACACAGGAGAAGTAGAGGCGTTGGTAGGTGGTGGTGGTGGTGCTTGTTGTGATGGTGGTAGTAGTGCTCTAACGGCGGTCTCGTTGTAGAATGGGTAAAGTTCGTACCTTGCACTACAGCTTGGCCGATTAAGTTTTCCTCCAATTCTGTTAAAAGGTATTCCGTAGATGGATTCATAGAGACAGCTCAAGCATTCTTGTTTGTTAATATCAGGAGTGCACTGAAGCAGAACGTACAAACTGTGGAGCGCAGTCCAATTGGCCTTTATCGCAGAGAATTTTCTAGAACTGCTCGCCGCTTCAAGGGCAGCTTGATTCATCGTCAACGACACCAAGTCTTCGAACCGGTCTGATTGATTAGATGAAATTTTATTGCCGTTCAACTGGATGTTTCGTCCTCTGAGTGTAACGGTCGAGAGAATATTCTGGTGAGAATATCTGAGCATGCACTCATCGTAATAGAGCACGACTTCGCTCCCATTCGGACAGATATTGAAGGTATGGTTGACGGAAAAGGCGACGCAGTTGTGGCAATCTTCCGGCGATTGGTCTCCGCGGCAGAGGAAAAGTCCGGTGACCCTGTCGGGGGCTTGTCCCGCTATGGCGTTTTGGAATCCGGTGGAGTATGAGGCGTTGGGGGAAGAGAGAGAGGACAAAAGGGTTTTGAGATTGGTGGAGTAAGTGCTGTTTCTGGAGAATGTTGTCGTATTTGGACAAAACTGGTTTAGGAAAACAGGATTTCTAGCAGAAGCTTTGAAGCTAGTGAGGAAGGAGAAAAGGAAAAGGAAAATCAAAGAGGTGCAAGAAGACATGGTTCGACTTCCTTGATTTGGGTTTTCACATCTCATGAAGCTCCCATTTATAATATCTTCTCTAAATGAGTATGTGACTACTTTTAGTTAACGTGAAACAGAGGTTGATTTGTTGCGACGAAGATACGTCGATCAAAGTCAATTTCAGTGGAAAATTGTTACGTTGAAATTTCATGCTATTTTTGACAACTTTATTATATTTTTAACACTACATGCAATATAGATATGCTATTGTGAAAATAATCTGTGAGACTAAGTTTTTTTTACCAGCCAAATATCTCTTTTATTTTATTATACTAAAATCAATATTACAGTACGTTTCATGTTACAGTGTAGGTCATCTTCTTATCTCTAGCTAGCTTAGCTAATACATCAACATCTTTTACAACTTTCCGATTGACATGCATATAAGAAAAGGCACATGCAGTATTGCAGTTCTTACAAGATCTTTGACGATGGTTGCAATACGATCGACACCATACTCCTATGTTCTTATGGTTCTGCAGATCATTGATATTTGCAATCAAAATCTTGCAATCCTCTGAAAATGTGAATTCCGTATATTCAACTTCGAGATCTCCTTCACCGCCACAAGATGGCTTTTAATTATCCATAGTTTAAGCTTCTATATCCATAGTTTCTAGTCCAAGATGGTTTTATTAAGAAGATGTGAGATTAAATATCTAAGTTATGATTTAATTTTGCCACCATTTTTCAGCAAATTCGTACTGCCCAAAATTATACTATTGACCTATGGAAATTTTTGGTTCGTTATACAAAACTTCCACAAATTCGTCGTCAGGAGAAAAAAATAGTCTGATCATTGACTTTGTCTTTAGAGGAAAAGTAAGTCAACAATTACGTGGAAAGGAGGGTGGGAGAAAAATAACCCATTTAGTAATAGTGATTTAGGGGTTATTATTTTTCATAGTTGGCAAATAATGCCTAGTAATAGATATTTCTTTTCATATTTGTCTTGAGAAGCTCTCTTACCCATTCACAAGACATTCGTATTTCCCTAACTAGGTTTGAAGCGCGGGGTTGTTTGCGATAGTTTTCTGTTTAGTTTTATCTATACTTGTTGATTTGAATTATGATGGTTTTGTATTAACTTTCATTTTTTGTTTATGTTTTGAGTTAACCCAATCACTAACATTAAAAATATGAACAATTTGTCTTTTATTTTATTTTATTAGGATGTTAACACTCCCACTTTATCTCGAGTTTTCTATTTCTAAAATTTTAGCATGTTATAAATATTATGTTTGTTTACTTCTGTTAGACTATAAACATGCATATGCATTGGACTCAACGTTAAAATTTGTAAGCATAATGTAAAATAGCATTTGGACCCGAAATAAGATGAAAAAAATAATATATATACTTTTTTACATATCTACTTTGTTGTGGTAGCATATGAGCCTCATAACCATTGATTATTTTCTATTATGTTAGTTTTGTAAATATTAATTATATTTTGAGACAAACATATCACAATCCTTAAAATTTTCATGTTTTTCACTGCAATTAAATTTACATATAAAAACTCGACTTCTATTTTTTTTAAATAAACTCTAACTCTAATTTCTCATTGGCTTTTTATTATCTTAATTAATTTATATTCAACTTTTTAACTTGTAAACACATTATAACATTTTGAAATAGGATAAATTCTTTTAATAAAAAGGTAAATATATACCATTTCAAGTTACATATATTTTTACTTATATTCAAACTTTTTGATAAATTTTAACATCAAGTTATCACATATTTTATATTAATTAAGTAATTTAGTTGTGTATTTTTCTTAGTTTTATTTATATTTAAAATATAAATATATGCAAAGAAATATGAAAAGTCATGTATTAAATATCTTAAAAACAATTTAATGAATTTTTGTGCTGATGTGGACACTCTATATGGAGAGAGCAACTCCCTAATTATATATAAGATAATAGATGCGAATAACGTTATTCTTTTAACTGTTGTCTCGAATTATACAGATGATTTTGATTATATACCTGTTAAGGGTTCAAATATTAAAAAGTTAATATTGGCAAACGATGATGCTTTATTTGATTTCAGCTTGCAACCTTTAGAAAAATGTAAAGCGGATTTTTTTTATAACTTGTGATTTTTTTTATATATTTGATGATTTATTTGATTTAAGTTTGCAACCTTCAAGGTAAACAACTAAACACCATGTTCAACGAGGATAGAATTCAGTGATCGATTGCTGAATTGTCAACAGACGTTGGAACTGACTTGGTTGTAGTAGACTGATCTGAATCAAGCGGGTCTTTTTGGGGTTCACTCTGATGGAAAAACACTGGTTGTCGAGGCAGTGGTAATGTCACAGTATTACTAGTGAGCATCATGAAAATGGTTCGCATGGTTGGGCGTTCTACAGGATCTTCTTGGACACATAAAAGACCAATATGGATGCATCGAACCACTTCACTCTTTTGGCAGTTCTCTACAATAACTGGATCCACGAGGCCTAAAGCTGTTCCGTTACTCCAAAGCCTCCAAGCCTATAGATAGAATATCAACTAATCAGTTCTTGCAACCATTGCATATTTTAAGAGAGGTAAATTTGAAACTTACATATGTCACCAAGTCATGTGCGCCGTCCGTCACGTTGAAGCTGCTGCTCTTTCGACCGCTTATGATCTCAAGAAGTAACACTCCGAAGCTATAGACATCAGATTTCATTGAGAACTGGCCATGCATCGCATATTCGGGTGACATGTATCCGCTAAAGTGCACAACAAGACCTTTAGTATATTTTAACAAACTCCAAGTTATGAGGAAGCTAAGTGGAAGACTTACTAGGTGTCAACTATTTTGTTTGTGTTCTCCTTGGTTTGGTCCATTCCAAAGATCCTCGACATTCCAAAATCAGCAATTTTCGGATTCATATCTGCATCCATGAGAATGTTACTTGCTTTGAGGTCACGGTGTATGATTGTGAGCCGCGATTCTTGATGAAGATATAGAATCCCCCGAGCAATCCCACCAATGATCTTGTATCGTCGAGTCCAGTCCAGTTGATCTTGCTTTGCAGGGTCTGTGTGTGCACATCCATTAATTACAACTAAATCTAAAGAAGTTTTAAGAAGGGCTAGAGAATCATCGATAAATAAAACAAGAAATGCAACTGACCAGAGAGGAAGTAATCAAGGCTTTTATTGGGCACATACTCGTAGACCAATATCCTTTCTTCTCCTTGTAGTGAGAACCCGAGAAGCCTAACAAGATTCTTGTGCTGAAGCTTTGCAGCAACAACAACCTCTTTCTTGAACTCTGCTTCACCTTTTCCGGATGATTTTGAAAGTCTTTTAACCGCAACCTCAGTCCCATCCGGAAATGTACCCTATTTGTTTTCATCTCGTTATACAAATTTGTTGATACAAACAACCTCAGGCGCATGCAATCAAAGAATTAATAGTGATGTATAGTACCTTGTAAACCTCACCAAATCCAACTTGACCAATCTTATTACTCTCTGCAAAATCATTTGTTGCAGCTTGAATTGTTCTATAATCACGTTGCAGCGATTTTAGCGTTATTATATCGTCTCCTGTTGTACAATAAACGTCCAAGTAATCATATTAAAAAGACACTTACGAAACACAATTAAGATGGTTAATTAAGCATTCAAATCTTTAGCATCAAAGGCTAGTGCATTACCAGAAGTCTTCTTTGCCCTCTTTGCAAGGAAACAATAGAGAGCTGTGAAAAGCAGAACAACCACTATAATAGCCACAAGGACGATGGCTACTACTAACACGGTTAAATTCCCACCTTTCTCTGCGGTTTAAAGATCACTTGCTTAAAATCTCTAGAATCGCTAGCTAACTTCCCAAAACAGAGGAAAAAAACAGAGGAAAATGAAAGTGCTCACCAGGTCGTGGTGGTGTTCTAAAGGCGGTTTCGTTGTAGAATGGGTACATTTCGTACCTTGAACTACAGCTTGGCCAAAGAACTCTTCCCCCAAGGTTGTTAAGAGACATTCCATCGATAGATTTATGGAGACAGCTCAAGCAGTCTTGTTTTCTAAGATCAGGAGTGCACTGAACCAGTACGTACAAAGTCTGAAGTGCCGTCCAGTTGGTCTTCATCGCAGAGAATTTTATAGAGCTGCTCGCTGCTTCAATAGCCGCTTGATTCATCGTCGACGACACAAAATCTCCAAACCGGTCTTCTTGTTTTAATGAAATTTTATTCTTGTTCAACATGAAGTATCCTCCTTTGAGTATAACGGTGGATAGAATATTCGTGTGAGAATATCTGAGCATGCACTCATCGTAATAGAGCACGACTTCTTTTGCGTTCCGACACTTAGCTATGGCTTGGATGATGGAAAACTCGACGCATTTACGGCAAACTTCAGGGGACAAGTCTCCGCGGCAGAGGAAAAGTCCGGTGACCTTGTTGGGGGCTTCTCCCGCTGTGGCGTTCTGGAATCCGGTGGAAAAAGAGGCGTTGGGGGAAGAGAGAGTGGAAAAAACGGTTATGAGATTGGTGAAGTAAGTGCTTTTCCTTGAAAATGTTTTTGTATTTGGACAAAAATTGTATAGGAAATAAGGGTCTTTAGCAGAAGCTGTGAAGCTAGTGAGGAAGGAGAAAAGGAAAAGGAAAATCAAAAAGGCGGAAGAAGACATGATTAGGCTTTCTTGGTTTAGGTTTCGGATCATGCATGAAGCTCCCATTTATAGATATTCTCTGAGTCTGTGAGACTGTAAGAGGGTGGTTTGTGGCGACGACTATAAGTCTATCAAAGTCAATTTCAGTGGAAAATTGCTATGTTGAAATTTCATGCTCTTTTCCGATAATTCGTACATTATCTTTTATCATTGCACATGCACGTAAGCCAAAATAATTGTATATGCAGTTTCTATATTTATGCTATTTAGTACTCCATTTGTTAAAATATCTCTTAATTGTCATTTTGGCACACCATTTACCTAAATAACTTATATAATAATTATATGAATTTTAACATTTTGTTGGTTCGCTATAGAGAATCTCCACAAATTATAGGAAATGTAGATATCCTTCTTCTTCTTCTTTTTTGTTGATAAAGAGAATCTCCACAGATTGTAGGAAATGTAGATATCATTTACTTGTCTTTAGAAGAAAAGTAAAAGGAGGGTGGGAGAAAAACAACTCACTTAACCATTCTAAGAATTAAAGAAAATATGTGTCCGCCCGCTATACAATCTCCACAAATTCATATTATCACGGAAAAAACTGACCAGACCACTTCTGACATATCATAGAGATATCCTCGACTTGGTCATTAGACAAAAGAGTATTATGTTTTAACCACAGTAAAATTCTATAAATTAATAATTTTAGGACATATAAAATTCTGTTATTTTAATAATTTATTAATTTATATGTTTTTGGGTTGCAGCTCTTAGTGTTCATCAACAAAATATTTTTGATACTATAATTTTTTGCATTATTAAGGAGACCAGTAAAATTTAAAGTTGGCATTATTTCAAGAGTTAATTTCTGAATTAAAATATAAACATAAACTAATTTTTTATCATTATACTTCTATTTCTTAGGATTGTTATTTTTCAATACGAACGTCTTTTTCATGCCTTTTTCAGCAGTCATTTTATAACGTAGAAAAAAGAAGTACGTAGATAAGGAATTAGTGTCGTTTAACTATATATTTGAATAGTCTCTTAAAATTTTGGAATCTTTGTTGACTATTCGTTTTAAAAAAAGTCTAGGTCCGCGACTTGTTCGGTACATCAATGAGTATTACAGATTTACAGTGTAGATGAAAAAAATCCACGACAAAGAGCTAAGATTACGATGTAGAGACATGATAGAGTTTGTACATAACTTTGATGAGTATCTCACAAATAAACCTATTTACATTTAAAATTTTCAATAGGATATTACAGTTTCAGCTGTAATATTGTCTATAACAACTAGTTTCGGTGACGTTCAACGAGGTTCCAGATCTGTAATGGTTAGATCATTGTTAGTGTATGAATTGGACGTGATCGTAGATTGGATAGACACGATGCCATCTTGTTCTCGGTAACTGCGTCTATTTGGAAAGAAGAATCCAGGTGTTTGAGGAAGAGGTAAGTTTAGGGAGTTCCTAGTGAGCATCATGTCGATTGTGGACAGGTCAGGACGATCTGTGGGATCGTGTTGAACACATAGCAACGCAACGTGGATGCATCTTGTCACTTCTTCGGTCTGACAATTCTCTGAAATGGTTGAATCCACAAGTTCTAATGGTCTCCCGTCTCTCCACAATCTCCAAGCCTATAACATCATTTCAATCATCAGTTACGAACTCACAGTTACATAAGATCATATTGTTACAAAATCATTTGATCACCGCTCAATAACTTAGTTCCTTGGTACTCACGTATGTGACCAAATTCTCAACTGTAGTAGTGTCTGCTTGGTGGACAAACATGTTCTGTCGACCACATATAATCTCAAGAACTAAGACTCCGAAACTATAGACATCTGATTTCGTTGAGAACTGTCCATGCATTACATATTCTGGGGGCATGTATCCTCTGCAAGAGTAAAAACACAAGCAATAAATAATTACAATGGTGAAGAAAAAGAATCTTGAAGATTCAAAATCTAATCACACTTGATGTAAAAAGCCTTTTCCTTTTGAATAAATTTCACATTTTTTTTTTTTTCAAAAAGGTAATACTCATTTACCTTGTCCCAACTATCCTGTTTGTATTTGCTCCGTTTTGGTGCATCTCAAAAATTCTGGCCATTCCAAAATCAGCAATTTTAGGGTTCATATCGGCATCTAAGAGAATGTTACTTGCTTTGAGATCACGGTGTATGATTGTGAGCCGCGAATCATGATGAAGATATAGAATTCCTCTAGTGATTCCCCCGATAATGTTGTATCGTTTTGTCCAGTCTAATTCCCCTTTCTTTGTTGGATCTGCACATACTCAACTAGCTATTATTAGCCACTTCTACAATATTTCCACCATATAAGTCTAATGAAATGCTAAATTCCACATACCAAAGAGGAAGTAATCAAGGCTCTTGTTAGGGACAAATTCATAAATAAGGATCTTTTCTTCTCCTTCTAGACAAAAGCCGTGAAGCCTAACAAGATTCTTGTGCTGAAGTTTTGCAACAACAACAACCTCGTTCTTGAATTCTAGTGCACCTTGTGATGATGTTTTCGATAGCCTCTTCACAGCAACTTCTGTTCCATTAAGCAACGTACCCTACAAATGACATCAATGAGACAAATATAAAGCATGCTTACTTTGGCTCTGTTTTCCAAATTTTGTCAAGAGAAGTTATGAACCAAGTAGCTACATAAATGACACCTTAAAAACTTCGCCGAATCCACCTTGACCAAGCTTGTTACTAAACTTGTCTGTTGCAAATTCAATTGCCTTAAAATCAAATTGGAGGGAACGTACAGCTGAGATACCAGCTGCAAACCAAAAAAGTAACAAAAGAAAAATCAAAGACACACTCTGTGATATCCTAATCTAAGACTATTGTAATAAATCTTCATAACTAATTCCATAGACTATATGTTTATGTACATGGTAAAACCTAAGAGGCCAAAGAAAAGTAACACTTACATTGAGAAAAATCAAATTCTTGAAATGGTTTTTTCTTCCAGCAAAGTAGAGCAGATCGCCGAATAATTAGTACCACGATGATGATGATGATAATGATGACTACAATGGGAACAACAATTGCCGCAATAACTCTTGTTGACATTTTTCTACTACCTGTGGGAGTGCCATATATAATAACCTTTAAAAACAATTGACTGGTTTTTGTCACATTGCTCATAGTTTTGCAAGAAACTTACCATCAGAAGGAGGAGGAGGACGATAAGCCACAGAAATATTATCAAAAACCTTGTAGAATGCAACCACATCCCAACGGAAATAGCAGTTTGGCTTCATAATAACGCCTCCTTGCCTCTGACCACAACATGACTGGTGTTGGAGACATTTTTCACAATCACCAGAAGAAAGATCCGGCGTGCACTGCATCAAAGCGTATAGATTCTGTGAAGGTGTCAATGCTGCAACATCAACTGTGTAATGGTTATCACTGGACGATGGTGTGCTTTTTGCTTTGGAGGCTGCAGCAATCATACGAACCACTAAGTCGTCCCATATTGCCTTGAACTCTATCAGATTTGAGTTGGAATCTCCAGGGTTGTAGACCAAATTATTGCTGTCTGCATCTAGAGAGCCCAAGAAAGAAGCATCAGCGTACCGTACATAGCAAAGCGTTGGCTCAGTTGCCCATTTATAGGCTTCTACTTGGCCAGGGCAGCTCTGTAACAAATCATCAGAAGCGGTCTTGATACAAACAGAACATTGACCTGAAGTTGATCCTGGGATGCACATCCCTGTTGCGTAGACTTTCTGGTTTGGTTCTTCTCCGATGGAACCGCTGTAGAAGAAATCGTCTTGAGCCGTGACATTTGAAGGAAGAAAAGAGAGTATTCGTGGGAGATTTGCTTCGAAAGTGCTGTTTGAAATGTAAATCCCACTGTTCATGCATTGTGCTTCTGCTGAAACTGAAGTAATAGCTGAGGTTATAAGAACAAAACAGAGGAGGAGTAAAATGAAACTCCTCTGTTTCATTTCTTCCTCCAAGATCGTAGCCAAAGCAAAAAAAAAATTGTATAAAGATCTGTTTCTCACAATTCCAAATATTTTCAAACAGGAAAATGAAGTTTCTCTGCAAAATTGTAAATCTTTTTTGTTTTGTTTTTGATTAACTCGAAATTTCTAATGTGAATTCAACAAGGTGATGGAATAATAGTGGGTCCACTCCAACTTTTAAAAGTCAATGTCACTAAATAATGTTGAATTTTCAAATGTGGCGACAGAAAATTGAAAAGACAGATGAAAAAGGGCCACCAGACGATAAGGCTAATCATTTAATGTGTCAGTTGCATTGGTTTCACAAATAAACCGGATCTGGTTATCTATAAGTTGGAACAAACCTCTGGTTTAGCACCTGAGATGCTCTTGATCAAGGCCTCACATATTCTTTTGTGTAGACAGAACAGTAAAGCACTAAAGCCTATAAGGAAAAAGTTGAAGACTGGCAAGATATTCTTCAGTTTCATTTTGGAGAATGATGATAACGGAACTAAACCGCTAACACCGAAGCTTATGAGGATAAAAGAGAGGACTGGGAAGGAGTTCCTCTTGTTCCTTAAAAGGTTAATGTTCCTTACTAGCTTTTTCTTGGTATTTAAAAATCAATTATTGCTTCTTTGCGAACTTTCAACGATAACAGGGGTTCCTAAATCTGCATACACCGGTCCTGAAACGGGAGAATGCTTTATAAAAAACAACCCACCCACACACTATCAGTGTAAAATAAATGGTATCAGGATGCTGTAAAAAAGAGATCACATAATTTTTTGTTTTTTTGCGCCGTATGCAGAATATAGTTTAATCCAAGTCCAACCTGTCCATGAATTAATAAATACGCATAGATGGAAGTTGTGTCGTACTTATAACTATAAAATAATTATATTTATAGGCACTTTAATACTTACAAATATTATTCAAAGGCACTTATAACAACTAGGTGACTTTCCACAAAAAACTGGATAGCAAAAATTCAGATATGCCCTTACTTTATTTTTGTAATTACATCTACAGATTTTCTTTTACCATGTGCACTGCAGTAACTTTCTGTTTTTTACACCGATGAATTCGCCGGAATAACAGAAGAACGGTTGTGAATCTGAGATTTGCAGCCGACGAATTCGCCGGAATAACTCGCCGGAGTAATTCAAGAACGATTATTGGATCTAAAAAGATTTGTCTTCATAACTGAAAACAAGTACACTATGAGATTTCATCGTCGAATTCTGTTTCGATAATCAATTTGGAAGATTTCGTCGGAAAAAATTATGTTGGCTATGGGATCTGGAAAAATTTCAGTTTGGAGAAGTTTCGTTGAAGTTTGGAGAAGATGAATCTGGGTTAACTCGCGATCTTGTCCACATCTACATGTCCACGCAGTCGTGTATACATACGCCCATCTGAACATCTTTGTTTAGATAATTAAATTTTTGGAAATTAAATAATATGTGTGTGAACATGTTTCCGTGTACATGATTTTGTGAACACAAAGATAATTAACAACTGAGTGAGTGTTTGTTGAGCTATTGTTTATCGCCTAGGCTATTGCGTAGAACCATATCCATATTCTTGTGTCCATACTTCGTATCCATATGGATATATAACACCTATGTTCATATCAATGTGTAAATATGGTTCTGAAATTGGTTCTCAGTCTATCCAAAACTCAACATACACGTGGACACGACTGCATGATCAAGATAATCGGGTGTTTGGATAATTAAATTTTGGAGTTTGAATGAGATGTGTGTGAACATGTTTCCGTGTACATGATGTTGTGAACACAAAGATTATCCACAACTGGGTGAATATTTCTCCCCTACATTGTTCCATAGAACTGTATCCATATGCATGTGTCCATACTTCGTATCCATGTGGATATATACACCTATGTTCATATCAATATGTAAATCTGGTTCTGAATTTGTTCTCAGTCTATCCGAAACTCAACATATCGGACACAACTGCATGATCAAGATAATCGGATGTTTGGATAATTAAATTTTTGGAGTTTGAATGAGATGTGTGAGTGGACATGTTTCCGTGTACATAATTTTGTGAACACAAAGATAATTAACAACTAAATGAGTGTTTATCAAATTATCGCCTAGTCTTTAATAAATGTATATGTTCATGCTACCGTCGTTCATGAAACTGCATCCACATGGATAGATATCCATTTATCAAATATATTATACAAGTTATCTTTTAATACAAACATATTCGTAGACAGTTTTGAAGAGTTCTTTGTGCACTTTGTATATCTATAGTGTTTCTGGATACAAAATATTTGTTTGTCCATGCTTACTTATCCAACAATTAGTATGGAGTTTGGTTTCTTTGTCCACATATAATAATCTCCAAAACAAACAATTTAAGAGAAAGCTACGAAAACTAGATCACAAGTGGACACGACTGCATGGACATCTAGATGTGGACATAATCGTGAATGAACACAGATTCATCGACCCCGAACTTCAGCGAATCTGAAATCTGCTTTATTCATCTTCTCCTCACTCTAAAAAAGAAACCCAGAGAAAAATGAAACTGAATTGAACGGCGGCGTCTTGCAATTAAACGGCAGTACGGTTACAAACGATGGAATGAGAGGCAAAATTCAGAAACAAAGATGGAGGGAGAAACGACGGCGGTGATGAACAACGGTGAAACATGGATGTTGGGTGAAAGGAAAGAGAACTCAGATTTTAGAAAGGTGAAACTATGGATGTTGGGTAAAAATAAAAGAGAAGTCAGATTTTAGGAAAAGGATTATTTGGTCATTAAAACACTCCAAAGTCCCTTAAGAACACAAAGTGCCTTTAAATGTAAAAAATAACTTAAAAGTGCTTTTGAATATAAATGACTCTACTTTATATTAGTTATTGAAATTTTGGAATCCTTGTTGACTATTTCTCAAAGATACATTATGGGGCTGAAAAGCTACGCCGTTGATACATGAAGACATCACATGGTCATATCCTGCTTTGCTTTTTCGTTACGTCGTATCATACTCTATCAACCTAAACTAATGTTCCACGTTCGTTTTTCTATTACTTTTTTTGGGGTTAAATTGTTCCACCTTCGTTTAATAAGAAACACTAACCAAAAACTATATCGTGTAACATTATATAATTTTATATTGTAATGGGTCAATAGTATCACTGTTGTACATAACTTCGAAAAGTATCTCATAAATTAAAATATTAACATTTAACTTTTGAATCAGACATTAATTACAGTTTCAGCTGAAACACATGAAACATGGTTTCTAGCTTTTAGGTTCAGTGATGTTCAACGAGGTTCAAGTTCTGTAATGGTTAGATCATTGATAGTGTATGAATTGGCCGTGATCGTAGATTGGATAGACACGATGCCATCTTGTTCTCGGTAACTGCGGCTATTTGGAAAGAAGAATCCAGGTGTCTCAGGAAGAGGTAAATTTAGGGAGTTCCTTATGAGCATCATGTCGACTGTCGACAGGTCGGGACGATCTGTGGGATCGTGTTGAACACATAGCAACGCAACGTGGATGCATCTTGTCACTTCTTCGGTTTGACAATTCTCTGAAATGGTTGAATCCACAAGTTCTAATGGTCTCCCGTCTCTCCACAACCTCCAAGCCTATAACATCATTTCAGTCATCATTTAAGAACTCACAGTTAGATAAGATCATATTGTTACAAAATCATTTGATCATCGATCAAGAACTTCGTTCCTTGGTACTCACGTATGTGACCAAATTCTCAACTGTGGTAGTGTCTGATTGGTGGACAAACATGTTCTGTCGACCACATATAATCTCAAGAACTAAGACTCCGAAACTATAGACATCTGATTTCGTTGAGAACTGTCCATGCATTACATATTCTGGGGGCATGTATCCTCTGCAAGAGTAAAAACACACGCAAAAATTAATTACAATGGTGAAGAAAAAGAATCTTGAAGATTCAGAATCTAGTCACGCTTGATGTAAAAAGCCCTTAAATTCTACATTTAATTAAAAATAAAGAATAAGGTAATCGTATATACCTTGTCCCAACTATTCTGTTTGTTTCTGCTCCATTTTGGTGCATCCCAAAAATTCTGGCCATTCCAAAATCAGCAATTTTAGGGCTCATCTCGGCATCTAAGAGAATGTTACTTGCTTTGAGGTCACGGTGTATGATTCTGAGCCGCGAATCATGATGAAGATACAGGATTCCTCTAGTGATTCCTCCGATAATGTTGTATCGTTTTGTCCAGTCTAATTCCCCTTTCTTTGTTGGATCTGCACATACTCAACTAGCTATTATTAGCCACTTCTACAATATTTCAACCATATAAGTCTAATGAAATGCTAAATTCCACATACCAAAGAGGAAGTAATCAAGGCTCTTGTTAGGGACAAATTCATAAACAAGTATCTTTTCTTCTCCTTCTAGACAAAAGCCGTGAAGCCTTACAAGATTCTTGTGCTGAAGTTTTGCAACAACAACAACCTCGTTCTTGAACTCTAGTGCGCCTTGTGATGATGTTTTCGATAGCCTCTTCACCGCTACATCTGTTCCATTGAGCAACGTACCCTACAAATGACATCAATGAGAAAAATATAACAAACATGCTTACTTTGGCTCTGTTATTCCAAATTTTGTCAAGAGAAGTAATGAAAGGACACCTTAAAAACTTCGCCGAATCCACCTTGACCAAGCTTGTTACTAAACTTGTCTGTTGCAATGTCAATTGCCTTAAAATCAAACTGGAGGGAACGTACAGCTGAGATACCAGCTGCAAACCGAAAGGCAAATAAGAAAAATTGAAGACACATTTTGTCATATTATAATCTAAGACTATTGTAATAAACTCCATATCTAATTTCATAGACTATATGTTTAAATACATGTTAAAAGCTAAAGAAAAGAAACACTCACATTGAGAAAAATCAAATTCTTGATATGGTTTTCTCTTCCAGCAAAATAGAGCAGATCGCCGAATAAGTAGTACCAAGATGATGATGATGATGATGACTACAATGGGAACAACAATTGCCACAATAACTCTTGTTGAGATTTTTTTACTACCTGTGGGAATGCCATATATAAAAATTAATTTGACTTGTTTTTGTTACAATACTCATAGTTTTGCAAGAACTTATGTTACCATTGTCAGAAGGAGGAGGAGGACGATAAGCCACCGAAATATTATCAAAAGCCTTATAGAATGAATACACATCCCAACGGAAATAGCAGTTTGGCCTCATAATAATTCCATCTTGTCTCTGGCCACAACATGACTGGTGCCGCAGACAGTTTTCACACTCACGAGAAGAAAGATCCGGCGTGCATTGCATCAAAGCGTATATATTCTCAGAAGGTGTCAGGGCTGCAACATCAACTGTGTAATGGTTACTACTAGAAGATGGTGTGCTTTTTGCTTTGGAGGTTGAAGCAATCATACGGTAAACTAAGTCGTCCCATATTACCTTGAACTCGGTCAGATTTGAAATGACATCTCCTGGGTCGTCGACCAAAGTATTTGGATCTCGATCTAGAGATCCCAGGAAAGGAATATCGAAGTAGCGTACATAGCAAAGCGTTGGGTCACTTCTCCATGTATACGCACCAAATTGGGTAGGACAACTCTTTATCAAACCATCAGACGCGTTCTTGATACAAACAGAACAGTGACCTGAAGTTGATCCTGGGATGCACATCCCTATTGCGTAGACCTGGTTCGGTTCTTCTCCGATGGAGCCGCTGTAGAAGAAGCTTTCTTGAGCCGTGACATTGGAAGGAAGAAAAGAGAGTATTAGCCGGAGATTTGCGTCGTAAGTATTGTTTGGTCCGTAAGTCCCACGGTACATGCATTGGACTTCTGCTGAAACTGAAGTAACAGCTGAGGTTATGATAACAAAACAGAGGAGGAGTAAAAAGAAACTCCTCTGTTTCATTTTTTGTTTCAAGATCGTAGCAAAAGCAAAAAGAAATTGTATAAAGATCCGTTTCTCACAATTCTAAATATTGTTATGTTTCTGATTAACCCGAAATTCTATTGTGAATTTAACAAGGTGATGGAATAATAGTGGTCCACTCCATCTCTTAAAAGTCAATGTCTCTAAATTATGTTGAATTTTTAAATGTGGCGACAGAATATTGAAAAGACAAATGGAAAAGGGCCACTGTTACCCGCAAAAGGACCAATGTCAGTGTCATTGGTTTCACAAATAAACCGGATCTGGTTATCTATAAAGTTGGAGCAAACCTCTGGTTTAGCACCTGAGATGCAATTGATCAAGGCCTCGCATATTCTTCTGTGTAGACAGAACAGTAAAGCACTAAAGCCTATAAGGAAAAACTAGAAGAATGGCCAGAGATTCTTCAGATGATAATGGAATTAAACCGCTAACACCGAAGCTTATGAGGATAAAACAGAGGATTAAAGGTTAATATACCTTACTAGCTTTGTCTTGGTATTTAAAAATCAATTATTGCTTCTTTGCGAATTTTCAACGATAACAGTGGTCCCTTAACCTACACTACACCGGTCGTGAAACGAGAGTCAAAAGTCAACTAGTTATGTCGAGACAAGCGTAGGAGTCAAGTTGGAACAAAAAACAACAAATAAAATAATATAAAGCAAGAGATATGTAACTGCTTAGCTGCTTCACAATTGCTATCTCTTTGGTATTTTCTGAAAACGTGTTTGGAATCCTTTTCACGTCGTCATGCTGCAGAAGACCCAATTTATTATATGTGACAAACATAGCTAACGATTTCCGGTTAATTTTAGCATAGATAATTCGTTCAAACTAAGTTGATATTGGCAATCAATGATAAAAAAACATGGTGGTGATTATATTTTATTTCAGTTGGTCACTCTAAAAAATGTAAAGCGAACAAAAGTTTACAACTTGTTTTCAGTGATAGAAACAAGTATACAACATATTCAACAAGAAGATTAAATCAGTGATTGATTGATGAATCGTCAACAGACGTTGGAACAGACTTGGTTGTAGTAGATATATATGTGTCAAGCGGGTCTTTCTCGGCTTTACTCTCATGGAAAAAACCTGGTTCCCGAGCCACTGGTAAAGTCACAGTATCACTAGTGAGCATCATGAAAATGGTTCGCATGGTCGGACGTTCTGCAGGATCTTCTTGAACACATAAAAGACCTATATGGATGCATCGAGCCACTTCACTCTTTTCACAATTATCTACAATGATTGGATCCACAAGGTCTAACGCTGTTCCCTTAACCCAAAGCCTCCAAGCCTATAGCATATCAATCAATCAATCAATAACCGATCACTTCTTGCAACCATTGTTGTCTTGTATGAGAAGTAAATATAAAACCTTACATGTGTCACCAAGTCATGTGCGCCGCCAGTCACGTAGAAGCTGCTGTTCTTTCGACCGCTTATAAGCTCAAGAACTAACACTCCGAAGCTATATACATCAGATTTCATTGAGAACTGGCCATGCATCGCATATTCAGGTGACATGTATCCGCTAAAATGCACAACAATAAGACCTTTACTATATTGTTGCGAAATCATGATTAACAAACTTCAAGTTAAGTGGAAGACTTACTAAGTGCCAACTATTTTGCTTGTGTTCTCCTGTGTTTGATCGATCCCAAAGATCCTTGCCATTCCAAAATCAGCAATCTTTGGATTCATATCTGCATCCAGGAGAATGTTGCTTGCCTTGAGGTCACGGTGTATGATTGTGAGCCGCGAATCTTGGTGAAGATATAGAATCCCTCTAGCAATCCCTCCAATGATCTTGTATCGTCGAGTCCAGTCTAGTTGACCTTGCTTTGCAGGGTCTGTATGTGCACATCCATGAATATTACACTTAAATACAAAGATCCCAAGTTTCAAGAATCATTGAAGTAGAACATGAAACTGACCAGAGAGGAAGTAATCAAGGCTTTTGTTGGGCACATACTCGTAGACCAATACCCTTTCTTCTCCTTCTAGAGCAAATCCAAGAAGCCTAACAAGATTTCTGTGCTGAAGCTTTGCAACAACAACAACCTCGTTCTTAAACTCTGCTTCACCTTGTCCTGATGATTTTGACAGTTTCTTAACCGCAACCTCAGTCCCATCCGTAAATGTACCCTATCCGTTTTCATCTCGTTATACAAATTTTTTTTATAAAAACAACCTCAGCCGCATGCAATTAAAGAATAATTAGTGATGTATATAGTACCTTGTAAACCTCGCCAAATCCACCACGACCTATCTTATTACTCTCTGCAAAATCATTTGTTGCAGCTTGAACTGTTTTATATTCAAGTTGCAGCGACTCTACGGTTGTTATATCGTCTCCTGTTGTCCAACCAATATAGTAATCAAACAGACTGATGAATGACATTAATCAAACACAACAAAGATTGTTAATCATTGGAATCTTTACCTTCAAATGTTGGTGCAGTGTCAGAAGTCTTCTTCTTTTTCCTCTTTGAAAGGAAACAATAAGCAGCTATGAGAAACAGAACAGCCACCATAACAGCCACAAGGATGACTAATGCTAACATATATGACTTCCCACCTTTCTCTGCGTTTTCAAAGATCATTTTCTTAAGAGCATGTAGTAACATATATTAAATAAACTCTCTAAAATCAATCACAAGGAAAACAGAGGACGAAGGAAGAGCTAACCAGATGGTGCAGAAGATGCCACCGGAGAAGTAGAAGCGTTAGTAGTCGGCGGTGGTGGTGGTGTTAGAACGGCGGTTTCGTTGTAGAAAGGGTAAAGCTCGTACCTTGAATTACAACTCGGCCAAATAATTCTTCCCCCAAGTCTGTAAAGAGGCATAGCATCGATGGACTGATGGAGACAGCTCAAGCATTCTTGTTTTCTGATATCAGGAGAGCACTGAACAAGACCGTAGAGAGTCTGGAGTGCAGTCCAATTGGTTTTTATTGCAGAGAATCTTCTTGAGCTGTTGGCCGCTTCAAGGGCAGCTTGGCTCATCGTGGACGAAACCAAATCTGCGAACCGGTCTTCTCGATTAGATGTGATGTTATTGGGGTTCGACAAGATGTATGGTGCATCGTATGAAAGGACCGAGAGAATACTCTGGTCGGAGTATCTGAGCATACACTCCTGGTAATAGAGCACGGTTCCTCTCTCATTCGGACACCTAGTTAAGGTGTCGTTGACGGAAAAGACGACGCAGTTGCGGCAGGCTTCAGGGGATAAGTCTCCGCGGCAGAGGAAAACTCCGGTGACTCTGTCGGGGGCTCTCCCGGCGGTGGCGTTTCGGAATCCGGTGGAGTATGATGAGGCGTTGGGGGAAGAGAGGGAAGACAAAACGGTTCTGAGATTGGTGAAGTAAGTGCTGTTCCTTGTATAAGTTGTCGTGTTTGGACAGTCATGGTATACGTAATTTGGATCTTGAGCGGAAGCTTTGAAGGTAGTGAGGAAAGAGAAAAGGAAAAGGAAAATCAAAGAGGCGCAAGAAGACATGGTTCTGCTTTCTTGATTTGCGTTTCGCATCATGAAGCTCCCATTTATTAAATTCTTCTCTGTGTGATTCTGTATGTTAATGTGAAACAGAGAGTTGATTTTGGCGACGAAGATAAGTCAACCAAAGTTAATTTCAGTGGGGAAAAAAATGCTATGTTGAAGTAGGCACTGCTGAAGTATATATACTTTCGACTTGATTTTTTGATAAAATTTAATTAAACCAAAATCCAGGACTTATTCAATTGTTTTTTTTTTTTTTTTTTTTTTTTTTTAGCATTAGAATCTCTAGCTACTTATATTTTATTTTACCGTGAAAATATATTAATACATGTAAGATAAGAAGGAAAATAAATATTGTAGTAGGAGAACCATCAATATTTTAGGATCAAAAAATTGGTTTTGTAAAAGGATACATTAGTAAGACAGCTATTCATTTTTAACTACAAGAAATCAAGAAATAAAAGCATCCCATTCCCTAAATGGCTAAATTTACTAGTCTCTTCCACATTTTTTTCAGAAGTGTTTGAGAACTTCAAAATAGACATGTTCAAAACTCATGTTTTTTTTTGTATGAATGTTAAGATTCAAAACTCACGTTTTTAGTAAGGAAAGATGCAATCAATAAAAAACTAACAGTTAGCTTTCCAGATTTCTTTTTTCCTTTAAAACTCTATGGATGTTTTCTTGGATTTACAATTTTATATGTTTATGTAAACATTATGTCTAAATCTAAATGATACTATAAGTTTTGTACATGTTGAATCACGATCGTGTTAAAATCAAAATTTGAAAAACAAAAAAGCTTTATATAATAAGAATTAAATTTAGGTTAAAACTATTTTAATGTTAAAATTTTGGATAAAACATTTCGATTACTTATTAATTTATAGGTAAATCGCACATTGTTGAACCTCTTTTGATTCCTGGCTGGCTTGTCTCGGTTTTGCTGGGTTTCGATCATTTGCTACCGATCCCGTCCATAGCGTTATCAATCTCTATTGACTATTTACTGTACATAAATAACCCATAATAATTCTAGGTACTAATTTGGCTCCACAAATTCTTTGTCAATTGAAAAAAACTGTCCGCAAATTCTGGGAAATGTATTAATGTAGATATCATTGACTTGGTCTTTAGACGAAAAGCAAGTCAACATTGACGTATAAAGGAGGGTGGGAGAAAACCAACTCATTTTTTGTTTTTCTTTGACAAACCAACTCATTTAATAACTCTAGAAGAACGAAAATTTGTGTTCGCTATTACAGAATCACCACAAATTCGTTATCACGGACAAAAATGTAGGTAGAGAGATATTACAATGTCATCGACTTGGTCACTAGACGAAATAGTAGTAACGTTACCTACCACCAAACAAAACCTAGATGCTGCGTATGTGTATAATATAGGGAGAATTTGCTGAAGAACCATATTGGACCACAATATTAAACATATAGCTATATCAAAACTAAAATACGATAAGTAACCAATGCTTTCTTTTTTGGACAAAATTACCCCTGCCTGAAAAATAGTATAGTTCTCTTCGTAATAAAAAGAATAGTCTAAAGATATCAATCAAATGGAATCAACGATTTCCATCAATCTCAAGCTTCCAAAATTAGTTGTAATAACAATTATGATGATTTTAAATTAGTAATGATCATCGTATACACACAATACGAACTGATTTAGTTTGGGAGAGAGAATTTAGTTATTGTTCTAAGATTGAATCATCACTTCCTTTGCTTCCGATGAGGCTGTCAAGGTTGTTGTCTTCAAAATGAAGAATTTCAGATTTAAAAATCGAATTCATTTAGTCATCAGTTATTGATCTAATATTGTTGAGATCCAAAAATTACAGAGACACTTGAAGTTGAAGAAAAATAAAAATATAGGTGGATGGAGGTGGAGAATTCTGAGGCGGTGGTTAATTGTACTGATCCGATCTGAAGCCACATGACAGAGCAATTGTGGAGTTTTTTAACCTGGATTTTTGGTTCAAACGCATCGTCATTGAGGATGAAGAATAGAAAGAGAGGTCTAAACCAATAGGTGAACCAATGTCGATAACCACCAGAATCGTAAAGATCTCGGATTTTGCTTCGCTCTTCCTCTCTAATCTTTATAGAACCCTAGAACTCAATTTCTAAGACAACCCAGAAAATTAAAAAAAAATGTAGAGCACCACGGATAGGACAACCCAGTTTGATTAGAGCTATAGAAAAATCAATACAATAATTGAAATAAAGAAAATCAAAGGGGAGGAAGAGATGGAAGAAAATCAAAGCGGAGGAAGAGATGGTCGCTGTCGTGAAAAAAGTGGGATACTCAAGGAGAAAAAAAAGAAAAAATGGTTTCCTTTTGTTTTTCGAGGGCAGTTTTGACATATTACATATTATGCACAGAATATTATAGCCATTAATTTGATATGGTCATTTCTTTAATTATACTTTTTTTTATAGTTATTCAATGCTATTTCCCTATAATATATTAAAAAAAAAAAAAAAAAACTCCAAATTTTCTGTATCCGAGAATGAAAAACTATCTGCTTTTATGTATTGAGATTGAAAAGAAGCCCATTTTTCTGTTGATTGACTTACGTGCCGCAGAAGTAAGTAATATTCACTATATTGCTCTTATGCTCTTTCGAAACATTCGTACCTGACGGTGTGTCCTTCACCCAAAGCCTCCAGACCGATCAGAATGAGATTTTTTTTATCGGAATTAGACGTGTTGAAACTGATGCTCATGAAAGGCGTTAAATGAAAGCCTCCACCACTCTGGAAAACCAACGATCTGCCAACAATCTTTCTTCTCATGTCCGGTACGGCCACAATGACTACACAAAGCACTCCGGTTACGAATGGAAGAAGATGACAACTCAAGACGAGAATCAGGTGACTGATTCTGATCACGGCGAACAGAGGATGGAGCTTCCTCCCGACGTGTAAAAAACCCTAAAGCCTCATGCCGCTGTTCCCGGAGACGAGCAGAAGACAGACGCTGTTCTTCACGGACAACCTTAGCGCAGATTTCACCAATACTTGGCAACGGATCCGCCGCAATGATCCCTGTGCAGAGACCACCAAATCTAGCATCGTCTAAACCCATCACAAACTGATGGATACGTTCTTCTTCTTTTTCTTTTGCGAACACTGACGCAGCTCCACAGGAGCACGAAATCACCGGTTGATACGATTGTACTCTTCCCACAACGTAGAAAGCCGTCCATAATACTCAAGAACGGTTTGCCCCTCTTGCCTGCACGAAGCGAGTTGAGCTTTAATCTGTGGACACGAACCTTGTTGCCCACGGAAAACCTCTCCTTCAGCTCAGTCCATAGGAGGTAAGCGTCGGAGATGTATGATATGGTAGAACAGACCTTTGGTTCGATCGACGAACGAATCCATCCAACTAGCATGGAATTCGCAGTCAACCAATTTTCCAAATCAGGGCTATCGCTCGCCGGTCTGGGAAGAACACCTTGAATGAAACCGGTTTTGCGTTTAGCCTGCAAAGCATTGTACAAGCCCGGAAGCCGCCAACGTGTACGGCGAGACAGTCGCTACTTCTCCACCTGAAGAAGGGACAGCGAGGGCTCCACTGGAACCTGGCAGAGGTGCATCATCTTCTCCGGCCATACTGAACAAGGATGAAATATCAAACAAAATTTTTAGGTATGAGGATCTTCTGCTCTGATACCATGTAGAGTTGGATACCGAACTAACTTGCTTTATTCATTGACAACTAAAGTGTATCTATTACTAATAAAAGTTGAGCCTATATGCATTAGAGGCTGTCCACCTAGGATTTAAAAGGTTGAATTTGATTGGTCCATGTCATTATTTTTTTTTTTTGCTTTTAAATTAATTTATGTAAATTTTCTATTTTAAGTTGAGCCTATATGCATTAGAGGCTGTCCACCTAGGATTTAAAAGGTTGAATTTGATTGGTCATGTCATTAAATTAATTTATGTAAATTTTCTATTTTACATATTATTTATTAATTAATTTTCAGTAAAGATAATTTCTCTGATTTTACAATTTTCGAGAACTGAATTATAAGTTTCTATTCATAGATTATCTAAATTTACATATATTATTAGTATTAGTTTCTTTTTAGTGGAAAATTTACACATGTTTTAAGTAATTATAGAAATAAATTTCCTATTCAGCCAAAAAGATGCTATGGTGTAGCGGTTATCACAATTGTCCTAAACGGTATTGAGTTCGATCCTTTGCAGTCCCCTGTTTTTTTTTAAACCGTTTCAAAAATAATTATATGGACATTGCCATTAGGTTACCACAAAAAAAAAAAAAAAATCAGACATCGGCATCTCCAAAACGGGATCTGCTACATCTTCTTCCCCTTTTTTCTACAAACCCTAAAACTGCATCTCACAAAACTCTCTCTCTCTCTCCACCGTCAAACAACAAAAATTCATTCTTCATTTCCAGATTTCGTAAATCGAATTGGATTTATTTTGCCCTAAACTCCCTATTTCGCATTGTTGCAAGTTTGAAGCTTCAGTACAACTTCAGTTGAGGGAGTATTAGACCAAAAATGGAGAAATTCGGAATCTATTACTAAGATAAGTCTTGTGATTTGACTGTACAATTCGGCTGCTTTAATTTCTGGCGAATATAAGATTGCTTCTTGGCATTTTTTTCTTATTTCTTCTTCCAAATTTATTTCTTGGTTTCATTATTTCGTTTTAGTCTAGAAGATTCTTGAAAAACAAATTGGATATTGTTTGATAAAGATTAGGATTTGGATAGTTCCTATTTTTGTAATTATCACTTCTCTAATTTCCTTATTGTACAATGACATTGATATACATTGATTCCTTTTTCCATTAGGAATAAGATGATCTTAAATCCTATATATACGTGGTCTTATTGCCACATGAAACCAAGTTCAGAATATACATTCACATCTCTCAATCGATTTTTATAAGCCATGGCAAATTCATGCTCTTCTGTTTCTAATCAGTTAAGCCATACTTTGGTTTTCGATGATCTAAAAAAAGGTTTCAAAATAATGATTTGCTTGTCAGAGTCATCCACTTTTGGGAGGCACGAAACGTTAGAAAAGGCGGATTACTCATGGGTGTAGAACTCCTTCTCATGGATCAGAAGGTACTTAATCAAAGGATTTTAAAGAAAAAAATTGAACCTGAAGGCTAAGGACGTTTGATCTCTGTAAAAACAAGAAAACCAAACAAAAAGGGGTAAAGTCAATGAGAAGAGATTTCAAATATTATTAAAAACGACCAGTGAAAGGAGAAAACGCTCTAAAACTCGACAGCTATAAGTCTCAGGAACTTGCCAAAGCAATTGCCACCACCTAGAGTTATACATTTATCACCAATTCGCATCCGGACAATTAGATTACAAACAAAATACACCATTTGGACATCAGCAAAAAAAGATTGAAAATACGGAAAATCATAACCTTCATCGAAGCCATTAGCTGAGAATCAGGAGAAGAAAGAAGCATCGAAACTCAGGGAAGGGGATGATGAGATGCCAAGAACAGTGATTTTGATGACTTTAAAACGAAGTCGTTGACTTTAAAACGAAGTCATTGACTAAAGCCATTGAAGAAAAGTTGTGCTCCATATGAACTGAAAACAAAACCAACGAGATATTTCAAATATCAAATTGATAGCTAAACCGAACCGAAACAAACATAGACTGATTAAACATCAACAAAACTAGCAAACACCGAGAAAACCCAAAATTTAACTCGGTGACGTTATCGAAAATCATTTGACCAAAAAATCAAACCATCAATCGGCGATAAAGGGGAAATTCGAGATTGGTACCTAAGTTAATTGAGAAATTCAGAGCGAGAGTCGAAGGAGATCGAAAAGAAGAAGAAGCGTGAGCTCTCCCCTGGTAATAACAAGATTAGCAACAAAGAAGAGGGATCTAGATGATGAGATGGTTCCGGTGGGAATAAGGAAGAAGAAATATTGTTCGATTGTGGTCGGTAAATGAAAGAAAAAGAAACGAAGCATTTCTAATTTCTATGAGATAGGAAAATCGAACCGTAACAAACCAAAAGAATTTAACCGGGAATTGGAAAAACAATTAAAAGATGATGACCACGGGAAGAAGAAGAAGCCATATGATATGGAAAAAGTGGGAATACATTTAACACGATTATATCATATGAAACAATTAAAAAAAAATTATTTTTTACTCCTGATCTTTCTGATTCCTTTCTTCCCGTCCTTAATGATCTGTAAAATACATTTATATTTTATTTTATTTTCTAGATATAAGACTTTTAAATACAAAAACAGTGATTTAAAAATAAAGAGATGAATTTATTGAATGGAATTAAATGCAACATAATTAAAATTACAAAAAAAATTAAGTATAAATCATAAATTCATAGCTGGAAAAGCTAAACAAATAAATAAAATTAAAAAATAAATTAAGAACTAAAATATGTATTAGACTAATATTGGATAAGTTTGCCAGATAACCTTTATTGGATATAAAAAAAATTGTCTAATGAATAGTAAAATTAAGGGATTAGTTTAAGAAATTTGAGGATTGGGCTGTTGTATGTTTTTATGACAAAAAATATTTTTAAAAGGTATCTTACTTATTATGACTACTTATAAAAATAATTAAATTGGTTAGGTAAAAAAAATTAAAAGTATATTACAAAAAAAGTTTATTAAAAAAAATTATAAACAAAAATTGAAAAATAGTGAAGCATTTTAAAAATCTTTTTTTAATAAATGAAACTATTATTTTCATCTCTTATCAAAGAAACAAAAAAAATTGATGACTCGAACTTGATATACAAATATTCTTAATTGAATCATACATTTTCTTAATATTATTGAATAAAATTAAAATAAAGAGGACATAAGATTTATTTACAAATATTAAAACGGAACCCGCGCGTGCGCGGGTAAAACACCTAGTTTATACAAGAGATTAGCTATTCACGATAGACTCTAAACTGCTACAAACCAGGAGTTTATCCTAATCCTAATAGATACAACGTTATCCCCAATAGTGGCTACTTGAAACTTGATTTTTTATTTATAATAGCGTGTGAAAAAATCAAGATAACGATGAAAATATGAAATGTATATAAACCGGTGACCTTGTCGGGGACTTGTCCCGCTGTGGCGTTTCTGAATCCGGTGGAGTAATTAAGAGGCGTTGCGGGAAGAGAAAGAGGAAAAAAGGGTTTTGAGATTGGTGAAGTAAGTGCTGTTACTTGTATAGGTTGCGTATTGGGACAAAAGTGGTTTACGAAAGTAGGATCTCTAGCAGAAGCTTTGAAGCTAGTGAGGAAGGTGAAATGGAAAAGGAAAATCAAAGAGGCGCAAGAAGACATGGTTCGACATCCTTGGTTTGGGTTTTCACATCTCATGAACCTCCCATTTATAGTATCTTCTCTCTGTGAGTCTGTGATTAGAATGATCAACGTGAAGCTAGGGGAAAATTTGTGGCGACCAAGATAAGTCAATCAAACTAAATTTTAGTGGGAAAATGCTACGTTGATATTTCATGCTATTAGTGGGAAAATACTGAATCTATTTAACATTACATGCAATTCATATATTTATTATGCTAATTGTGAAATTAATATTATTTAATTGCTAATTAAAACATGCTACGTATTTGTCGATAATACAGTATCTATTTAATATTATTTTATCACCCAAAGTCCTTTACTTTATTGATTTATCATAGGTTTTACTGTACATGTCTATTACACTAAAAATCTCTGCGTTATCATTTTGCCATTATTTTCTGGGAAATACGTACTGCTGAAGATTATACTTTTCCGGTTCGCTATACAGAATTTCTGGAAATTCGTTGTCAAGAAAAAAATGTGTCCCTCCACAAATTATAGGAAATGTAGATATACTTGACTTGGTCTTTAGACGAAAAGTAAGTGAACATTGATTTGTAAAAGAGAGTGGGAGAGAAATAACCCATTTAATAATCTAAACGAATAAATATTTTTATGTTCGCTATAATCAATCTCTGGCGCAAATGGAAATGGCCATGATTGGGCTTGATCACTAATGTTGTCAGTGTCATTGGTTTCACAAATACACCGGTTTTGGTTACTATAAAGTTGTAGCAAATCTCTGGTTTAGCACCTGAGATGCAATTGATCAAGGCCTCACACATTCTTTTGTACAGACAAAACAATAAAAGCCCTATAAGCAAAGAGTTTCTTCAGTTTCATTTCGGAAAATGAGGATAAAACAGAGGATTTGGAAGAATCGGTCCTCTGCTTCATTGTTCCTTAAAGATCAATATAGTTTTGTCTTGGTATTTAAACAGCAGTTATAGCTTCTCTGTGAATTGCTAACGTTAACAGTCGTCACTAAACCTGCATGCACGGTAAAACGAGAGTCAAACGTCAACAAGTTCTCTAGTGTGCAATTTCTGTCGAGACAAATGTGGGTATCAAGTTGGAACAACAAAAAGAAAGCAATAGATATGTAATTATCGAAGACAAAGACGAAGAAAGGACAAAATACTCAGACTCATTGGCTCCTTCACAATTATTATCTCTTTGGTAATTTTTTTTTTTTTTTTTTAAAAGCTTTTGGAATCGTTTTCTCGTCGTCATGCAAAAGACTAAAATTTTATACTACACTATTGTCCGACAAATATATTAATTTAAAATATATTTTTTTTATATTTTAAGGTTTTAACAGTTTTTATTATGTTTGTATTTTTTTATTTTATTTTTGGTTTTAATGTTCAGATTTATGTTTGTATTTTTCTTTGTGTATTTTTATATTTCACTAGATTAGGCCCGCGTATACGCGGGTTTATTTATTTTTATTTTTTAAAATCACGGAAGAATATTAAACAAAATTTGATCAATTTTAAAAATAAGAAAATAATATTAAAAACCCGATAACAAATCTCTAAATAAATATATGTAGTTCTTTTACATTTTTATTTTGAATTCATGATATGAAATAGAAAGATTTACATGTGTCTAAATCTAATCGACTCATTATTTTATGAAACTTTGATTATTCCATGATGAAATCTTTATTTTTAATATTGTTTTAGCTATCAAAACATGAAAAATTAAACTAATAATATTAGAAGATCAGTCCATTATAAAATTTTCTTTTTTTAATCTTATTTAGTTCCTTAATAGTTATTTTGTTAGTTTTCTATTTATATTGTTTCTTTTTCGATTTTGTTTTTGCCTCTGACCATTATAAATTTTCATTTTCATTATTAGTTAGTTGTTTTAATATTATTTTGTTAGTTTATTTATTTATGTTACTACATTTTTCCAATTTTCTTGTGTTGACACATGTCATCACTTCATCAAATATTAGACACATATATCGATCTAAAGTTAAGTATTCTTCATTGATATCTTTAACTTTTAAAGACATGAATTTTATTTCTTAATGAGAAAGAAACTTAAAAAATATAGTTATATTGTTTTTTTTTTTAATTTTCGTAATGGGAATGTGTTTTTTTATTCCTTTTCTTATTGGATGTAACATTTTTTAATTATTTATTCCTTTTTATAGGGGGTTCATATAACAAATTTCATACAGTTTTAGGATATTTAGTTTACATACCTATTACATGTACTAATAGGATTTTTTTAAATAGGAGTTTATATAACCTATTCCATACAATTTTAGGATATTTAGTTTACATACCTATTCCATGCACTAATAGAATTTTTTATTATATTATTTTCATTTTATTATATAAAATTTTGTTTTTATTATAAGATATTAAAATTTACCCTTTAAAATAAAAAATTTCTTTTTCCGAAGACATGTGTCACGATCTTAACGGATATAATATTAAAAGTAACACATGTCGCAATCTTATATTTTATAAAAATCATATCCAGCTTTATATAATAAGATATTGCAAATCTTATCAACCATTACATTAGTGTGACAAAACATCAGTGATCTATTGATGAATCGTCAACAGAAGTTGGAACAGATTTGGTTGTAGTAAAATTATCTGAATCAAGGGGGTCTCTCTCGGGTCGACTCTGAAGGAAAAACCCTGGTTCCCTAGCCACTGGTAAAGTCACAGTATCACTAGTGAGCATCATAAAAATGGTTCGCATGGTTGGACGTTCTGAAGGATCTTCTTGAACACATAAAAGGCCTATATGGATGCATCGAACCACTTCACTCTTTTGGCAGTTTTCTACAATAATTGGATCCACAAGGTCTAACGCTGTTCCATTACTCCAAAGCCTCCAAGCCTATATATATCAATCAACCATGCACTTCTTGCAACCATTGCCTATTGTAAGAGAGGTTGATGATCGAAAACTTACATGTGTCACCAAGTCATGTGCGCCGTCCGTCACGTAGAAGCTGCTGTTCTTTCGACCGCTTATAATCTCAAGAACTAACACTCCAAAGCTATAGACATCAGATTTCATTGAGAACTGGCCATGCATTGCATATTCTGGTGACATGTATCCTCTAAAAACACAACAAGACCTTTAGCATATTGGCGCAAAATCATGATTAAAAAACTTCAAGTTAAGTGGAAGACTTACTAGGTGCCAACAATTTTGCTTGTGTTCTCCTGTGTTTGGTCGATCCCAAAGATCCTTGCCATTCCAAAATCAGCAATCTTCGGATTCATATCTGCATCCAGGAGAATGTTGCTTGCTTTGAGGTCACGGTGTATCATTGTGAGCCGTGAATCTTGATGAAGATACAGAATCCCTCTAGCAATTCCTCCGATAATTTTGTATCGTTGAGTCCAGTCCAATTGACCTTGCTTTGCATGGTCTGTGTGTGCACATTCTTGAATATTAAACGTAAAAATCTAAACAAGTTTCAAGAATGGCTTAAGAATCATTGAAAGAAAACATGAAACTGACCGGAGAGGAAGTAATCAAGGCTTTTGTTGGGAACATACTCGTACACCAATACCCTTTCTTCTCCTTCTAGTGAAAATCCAAGAAGCCTAACAAGATTTCTATGCTGAAGCTTTGCAACAACAACAACCTCGTTCTTGAACTCTGCTTCACCTTGTCCTGATGATTTTGACAGTCTCTTAACCGCAACCTCAGTCCCATCCGAAAATGTACCCTATCCGTTTTCATCTCGTTATCAATAATCAATCTCAGGCGTAGTTAAAGAGTTAATAGTGATGTCTAGATATAGTACCTTGTAAACCTCGCCAAATCCACCTCGACCAATCTTATTATTCTCTGAATAATCATTTGTTGCAGCTTGAATTATTTTATATTCAAGTTGCAGCGACTCTACGGTTGTTATATCGTCTCCTGTTATACAATAAAGTAAACGTGGTAGTAATCAAACAGACTAATGAATGACGTTAATCAAAACAGTGAACACAATTAATATTGTTAACCATTGAAATCTTTACCTTCAAAAGTATGTGCAGTATCAGAAGCCTTCTTTGTCCTCTTTGCAAGGAAACAATAAGCAGCTATGAAAAACAGAGCAGCCACCATAATAGCCACAACGATGGATACAACTAACATATATGAATTTCCACCTTTCCCTGCGTTTCCAAACATCATCTGATTAAGACAACTATGGCAGCTAAATCAAATATCTACAAAAAAATAAAAATAAAATCACTTTCCAGAACCGTATATCTAGTTTCGAGAAATTAGGACAAGAAAACAGAGGAAGGAGGAAGAGCTAACTTGGTCGTGGAGGAGATGAAACCGGAGGAGTAGAGGCCGGCGTCGGCGGTGTTGGTGGTGTTTCAACGGCGGTTTCGTTGTAGAATGCGTAAAGTTCGTACCTTGAAGTACAGCTTGGAAAAAGAAGTCTCCCCCCAACTCTGTAAAGAGGCATTGCATCGATGGATTGATGCAGACAGCTCAGGCATTCTTGTTTTCTAAGATCAGGAGTGCACTGAACAAGCCTGTATATACTCTGGAGCGGAGTCCAATGGGCCTTTATCACAGAGAATTTCCTAGAATTGCTTGCCGCTTCAAAAGCAGCTTGGCTCAGGGTCGACGACACCAAATCTCCGAACCGGTCTTCTTGATTAGATGAAACGTTATTGGCGTTGGAGAGGATATATGGTCCATCGTATGAAAGGGTTGAGAGAATATTCTGGTCAGAGTATCTGAGCATGCACTCATTGTAATAGAGTGCGACTTCTGTCTCGTTCGGACACCTGGTTAAGGTTTCGTTGACGGAAAAGGCGACACAGTTTTGGCAAACTTCAGGCGACAAGTCTCCCCGACAGAGGATAAGTCAGGTGACTCTGTTGGGGGCTTTTCCGGCAGTGGCGTTTCCGAATCCGGTGGAGTATGAGGCGCTGCGGGAAGAGAGAGAGGACAAAAGGGTTCTGAGATTGGTGAAGTAAGTGCTGTTCCTAGAATATGTTCTCGTATTTAGACAAAATTGGTATGTGAAAGAAGGGTTTTTAGCAGAAGCTCCAAAGCAAGTGAGGAAGGAGAAAAGGAAAATGGAAATCAAAGAGGCGCGAGAAGACATGTTGATGGTTCCACAATTGATTTGGGTTTCACACCATATTAAGTCTTCTCTGTGTGAATCTCCATTGCTTGAGAACCTCACATGGACCATCATGGTATCTCAACAATATATCAATGTTATTTTAATTTAATTTAGTTATATGATTTAGTTTAACTTTCAGAAAATAAATTCAACCAATGAAAATATGGCTTAAGGGATTGGTATCTCAAAGGTTCTGTATGAGAGAAAACTGACATGGGTATCTCAAAGGTTCTCATTTGAGATACCAATGTCAGTTTTCTCTCATGCTTTTTAAATTTTTTTGTTAATTACTTTTTTTGGGTTGAGATACTCTTTGAAAACCCTTTGATGGAGATGATTTAAGGATGAAAACATTTTGGAAAAGTATTTATACAGTATATGGATGGCTATTGAGCAACTTTCAAGAAACTGATCAGCTCAAAGAACCAGTCAAGATGAATCTAGTAAGAACAGAGAACGAGAGTGGAAGTAAATAGTTTTTAGTATTGGCAACAGAGAGCGTTTATAAGAAGAGCAAGGACTAGAAAAATAAGTAGTAGTGAGAGATAACTCTAAAGGAAATTAAGTTCACAAATAATAGGAAATGTAGATATCCATAAATTCGTTGTCAGAGGAAAATATTGTCCACTAATAGGAAATGTCGATACCCTTGTCTTGTTTTTAGACGAAAAGTAAGTTAACGTGTAAAGGAGGTAACACTGACGTGTAAGGAGGGTTGGAGAAAAATAACCAATCAATAACTTTAAGAAATAACTAGTGTATATCCCGGGCGTAGCCCGGGCGTTTAGTTACAATTATCTTTACTATTTTGCTATGAGAGATTTTGTTTTATGTTACTATTTGCGATTTTATGAGAGAAATATTTGATTAAATTTTACTGTGATTTATTGGAACTATATTGGCTATGTTCCTGTCTTTCATATCTTTCGAATTCATCTTCAAACATTACGCCATATAACTGATACTGCACATGTCTTGATGCATAAAAAGTACTATAACTATTATAATTAGATAAAGTTTTGTGGATGACAAATTTTTAGAAATCTAACACTAATGATACAAAAAGTCTACGAATTTGTAAGAATAATCTTAAAATGGTACATAGGAGTCATTTACATAGGAGTCACACTATTTACGGGAGTCAGCACTATATAAGCCAAAATTCTTTAGGATTCTAGCACCGGAGTCACCATTTAGATCATCCCCACCACTCCCATCGTCTCCTTTTTCTTGCACCTCCTTCTCCTCTTGACACTGGCTTTGAACACCTGCGAACTGACAATTACAGCATGAAAAAACAGACCAATAAACTATTCAGAGTATAAGTTCAGGAAAGCAATACTTAGTGTAGGAGGAGCAACAGCGTAGCTGGTTGTTTCTGCCAACCTCGAAAGGGAAAAAAACAGAGCAAGAAATCAGCATACAATGTCGAAAAACTCTTCTAAGGAACTGGTTAAACAAAAGGTACCAGCAAATCAAGCGAGTTTTAAGAAGACATGAACCTTGGTCATGATGAGCGTCAAAAACGCAAAACTAATAGCCTCCTATAATCCTCACAATTACAGAAGTCAATACTAAAGCAAAATGATGATATGCAGTACTGGTCTGTTGTATACACATCATGTTCAAACATAGATGGGTCTTCGGATCCCATCTAAGCCTCTCATTTGTGTCTGCAATATGAGAAACAGAAAATATTTGAAGGGTTTCAAATTCGATTTTTGAGTGTTCTTTTGCTGAAAATGGTGATGACTTACATTGACGAAGACATTGTTTCCGTTGGCGTATCGATCACTACGATCAATTCCATGGAATCTCTGAGGGAATTGTACATAGCAAAGATTTTTCCGAAGCTGTGGATCAATCAGAAAGCACATTAATTCTCTAATGTTGTTTATGTAATGATCACAATCAAAATTCAGCGTAAATGGAGCATTTCTAAGCTCTGCAGATTCTCGTAAGAAAAACCATTGGCACAGTCCAACAAACCATTGTGTTTAATTAGAAAAAAAAAATACTTATTCTGCTGCACTTACTTGTATGTTGTTTGGTTATCATTGCATTCATGGCTCGAGCTTTCTTCTGGTGTGTATAACCACTAAACCACGATGCTTCTCTCTTAACACATACTCAAGCCGTGGCAATTTGTTACCGTCACGTCAGTCGTCACCGTCAATGTAGAAAGCTCCTTGTTTTCCTAAGTACATCTGAAAAAAGCATTGAATTTACAAAGTAGTTTTCTAGATCCAAAAGGTGTGACCTTTAATGGTATATCCGGAGAGAAAAAATCTGTTGGGGATTGTGAGGTTTTGTATGTGACCTGAATCATCACGGGATGATCACGAGTGTTGTTTCCAGGCCCTGGTGTACAATCCTTCATCACCCAACCTTTTTCATGTTTATTCTAAGCTTTAGCCACTAAAGAAATGATCTTCACTAAGCTCTCTGCAAAACAATTGAGAAAAGAAAGTTAAAATCCCGTGTGTGATTTGAAAGTAAAGATCTTTAGTGACTGACCTTCATTGCTCTACGATCTTTGACGAATGTAGTTTGGACTTTTATCCTTCAAGTAAACAATCTTCTCAGAGAATTAAAACTCTGTAGCTCTTGGCTCAACGTTGTACTTAACCCATCTTCTTGCAAACTGAAAACTTTCAGATAATGAATCAAACATGAGAACTGAAGCACCGTTATCAGACACATATATAGCAGCTAACCTTATTCACCGGGTTATCAACGGTTAAGATCGAAAGAATGGTGTTGGTTGTGATGATCGGAAGTTCCTTAAGCGGATTCACCGTACTGTCAAACACATCTGCTGCTCTTTTAAGGGTCTGACTGGTTTAACCGCTGCGGTTGCGGTTGCGGGTGCGGGAGTTTGCGGAAGCGGGCGGTTGTGATTAGTAGCGTTATTAAGCGGTTTGTACGACTGGCATAACAATTGAAAATGGATGCGTTTGCGGGATACTTATGACTGGTTCACTTGCGGATGCAATAGCGGTTAAACAATAAATTAATAATATAAACACATTATATAATTATAAAAATATCAAAACTATATTATAATGAAAATTTTAAATTTATGGTTCAACATAATTAAAAATAATTTTTTTATAAAGAATAATATGTGTATAATACTTACGTCTATTTTTTAATTTCTATAATTTAAATAAAAAATGTGATTTTATTTTCAAAATATATATTTAATGTGAAAATTAAATTTATATTACAATTTTATTTATTAGATATATATGTATTAGTATGAAAAGAATATTTATCAAGAGAATTTTGATTTGTAGAACTTATAAATATATAAGTATATATGATTTTAATGAATATTGACTAAAAGTACTAATTTTTTTTTATATTGTGATTTTATTATCCAAATCTTATTTTTTAATAAATATTATTATTTATTTTCGGATTTTATATAAGTTTGTGTTTTTTTTTTTTTTTTAATTATCCACCCGCAACCGCAAACGCTTGCTGGGAAGGAGCTTTTGATTTTGAGGGTTGTTGAGGGATCTTGAGCGATGTAAAGCGGTATAAAGCGTTTGTGGTGATTGTTGTCAAACGCCAATAACCGCTACTACCCGCAAACGCTCGTTTGCGGGTAGCAGCGGGTGAACCAATCAGCACCTTATTAGAGATTTTTTTTGTTTGCTATTAATATTGAATCTCCACAAATTCGTTATCACGGACAAAAATGTCCACCCTCGAAACTAGATAATTTATAGAAAGGTCCAGAGATAGCTGGCATTTTAAGGAGACCAATAGTTTTAGAAGTTGGAATTATTTCAAGAGTTAAAAACAATGTTTTTAAAACCGGACCGGTGACCGAACCGTAAACTTTTTGGGTCATGGTTCGACCCGGGTCAACCCGGTTCGACCTGGTTTGATAATAATTTTAGCATAATAATATCATATATATATATATATATATATATATAAATTTATATAAGAATATTAGAATATCAAAATAACATAAGAAAACAAAGCAGTTATGAGCAACACATAAGGATAAAGACACAAACAAGCCAACAATCAGAACAACGAATTCCTTTCAAAATAAAGTTCAGAAAACAGTCAAACACCAAAAGGTCCAAAACTAAAGGCAAAAAAAACAGAGCCAAACAAAAGGCTCAAAACAGAGTATGAATTGAAAACCAAAGAATACTTCATCCCATAAAACTAAAAGAGATTGCATCATTGCAAAGAGTATCAAAACCAAAGATAACACCTAAATAAAATAGAGTAGCAGCACACTAGAGCATCCAATCTTCTTTGTCCAAATCTTCAACACCAGGAGTGGGTTCATCGTCATCTTTGGGATATTCCTCAAGAAGTTTATCTTCTAGCTCAGCAAGATCAAGTTCGCCTTCTTCTTCTTCTTCCACAATCCAAAACTCAGTTTTATCGATTGACTCATAATCCACAGGATCATATGATCTATTTTTCTTGGACCTACACATGCAAATAACGAAATATTTATCACAAGGTATGGATAATAAGTTAAGAACAATTTTGTCCATCATAAACTCCACAAATTACTAACCTGTCTTGTAAACGTAAGTTATAATGAACAAAAACAAGATCATTGAGCCTTTGATGCTCCAGCCTATTCCTCTTTTTGGTGTGAATGCGTTCGAACACACTCCAGTTTCGCTCACATCCAGATGAAGAAGCTGTTTGACTAAGGATTCGGATTGCAAGCTTTTGCAAATCAGGAATATCAAACCCAAATAGTTTCCACCATTCATCTACAAGTAAAATGAGAAAAGAAAACAGACTTAAGCAATGAACATGCTCCAAACATTAGCATAAACATAACATTATAGCAAGATGACTTACCAGGTCGAGTAGTTTTGCTACAAGTAAGTGCTATCTCTCGAGAGAAACTACCCTCTCGTTCTCTATACCATCAAATGCTAGACACCAACATCGATTCACTTAAACCAACACTCTGCTTTTCAATCAGATTTAGCGTTCCTCTTTTAATCTCTGATTTCTGACAAAAGTTCTCCTTATCATACAAAAAGGCTGGATTCAAAAAATAAGCTGCAGCATAAATATCACGGCGCAACATCTTATCCCACCGACTATCAATGATCCTCGTGTAAGGCTTGTAGAGTCTTTTCTCCTTCTTAAATATCTTCTTGACGCCTAACCGTGCCCTATACATTCCTTCATATACATAAGGCAAAGATGGTTTCTCATCAGAATCGCAAATACGCAACAAACGGATCAAAAGAGCCATAATCTGGACAACCACAAAGCACTCTTTCCAAAAGTCATCATCAAAGATAAGTTGTTTCACAAGTTTTGCTTTTTCAGATCTTGATATCTTTCTGAACTCCTCATCAACAACCATACTCTGCAAGTAATCTTTATGCGCATACAAGCTTTGTAAAGCTATGAAACTTGTAGCAAAACGAGTTTCTGCAGGACGAATTATCTCTCTCCAACCCGGCCTGTTTCTCAACCAGTTCAAGATATTCTTATGGTTATACACAAAGATAGTTATCTTTGATGCATAGCTGGTTAATTTCTTGACCAGAGGTAGCTCTCCCACATCTTCTAGTATCAAGTTAATACAGTGAGCTGCACAGGGTGACCAATATATGGTAGGATATCTTTCTGTAAGCTTACCACCAGCAGCTTTGTAGTTAGGTGCACTATCTGTCACCATATGGACTACATTTTGGGGGCCAATCATATCCACAACCTCAGCAAATAGGTTACACAAATTCTCTGCAGTTGTATATATTCCTGAAGCATCAACTGACTTGATGAAAGTTATCCCCTTAGGACAATAGACCAAAAAATTTATTAAAGGTCTTTGCCTAGTATCTTTCCATCCATCAGCCATCAGAGTACAACCAGTTTCAGCCCATGTACTCCTAAAAGATTCAATAATTAAAGAAACTTGCAGCTTGGCATCACGTAGTAAACCAACACGTATAGAGCATGATACGAAGGCCCTTTTGCTGATCATAGGCTGATAAAATCTAGAATTCACAGCATTCATGGGCATACATACATCATAGAAAAACAATGCAACTGCCATATCAGCATCATGAATCTTTTCCTTACTCTGCAAACATGATTTTATGGTTGGTTGTGACTGATCTTGTAAACCCTGCTTGAAGTAAGAGTTTATGTCGGTATTGGCCTTTCTTTTCTGTCTTGGAGGCATAAAACCTTGACCAGAATCTTCGTCATCCTCTAAATCAACAAACTGTCTAGTATTATTCACTCCACTTTTCTCCTTTGCCCTATCATCATTTTCTTTCAGAGACATTCTCATTGCATGTTGAACTTCTGGAGGGACATTCTTGCATGCATTTGTATTCCCTTTCACTCCAGCCAAGTGTTGTTTCATTCTATTGATACCACCTCCTTGATTTTTCTTTTTACAAAAGTCACATGTAAGTGTACTTTTCCCATTCGAATCCAAAGTTTGAGAGACATGTGCCCATGCTGGATCATGCTTTTGACGAACAGAGCGTTGTGAGGGAAGCTGATGTTCTGTATTTGGAACTTCTGGATCATCTCCATCCATTGTTGAGTACACTGCAAAATAGTTTAAACAGAAAAACAAGTAAATAATGAAACAAAAGCCAACGAATTGACAAGTAAATAACTAAATATTAAATCGACTCCAATAAAGTAAGTGCATGTGGTTTGATTAGGGAGTTATTGAATCTACTATCTATATGCTCATATATTATTATGCTCTGCAAATAAGTTCACGATCGTATGTGCTTCCACTTTTCATTAGCAATTATCATGATGAAACAAAATTATAGTATAATATAAGAGAGAACTATAGAAGTTAAATTCAGAAGCAATACCTTGAGGCTTGACTTATCCAGCGGCTGTGAGTTGCAGAAAAGAGACTTCAAAATGAGAAGAGAAACAAAAGAACCTAACATTGCGTAAACTGTAAACATCAATTTATAGTGACTAAACCCTAAATCGGAGTCAATCCGGTTCTGTGGTTCGCCGGGTTCCGGTTTTTAGCCGGTCTAAAGCGGGTTGATCTACGGTTCAACTATCTCCGGTTTTCCATATCAACCCAACCCGGACTTGGTGCCGGTTCGTGGTCGAACCCGGTCGGACCCCCGGTCCGGTCCGGGTTTAAAAACATTGGTTAAAAAGAAAAGAAAAAAAATTATTTCAAGAGTTAATATCTGAATATTCAACGAGGTTCTCAATGAGTGATGGACGCATCATCAACAGACAAAAGCTGCTATTCCTCTTACCGCTTATAATTTCAAGAACTATGACTCCAAAACTATAGACATCTGATTTCATCGAGAAATGGCCATGCAGCGCATACTCAGGAGCCATGTAACCACTAGGGCAATAACCAAAAAAAATCAAAAAAACATAGAGAGAACTTAAACTTTTTAGACAACAAAAAGAAAAGATTCATCAGATAAAAGGGAAACAAGGAAACAGAGTTTACTAGGTTCCAACAATCCTGCTCGTATCGGATTGAGTTTGGTCCATCCCCATAATCCTTGCCATTCCAAAATCTGCAATCTTTGGGTTCGTGTCAGCATCCAAGAGAATGTTACTTCCTTCGAGGTCACTGTGTATGATTGTGAGCCGCGACTCTTGATGAAGATAAAGAACACCTCGAGCAATCCCCTGGACGATCTTGTATCTCGTTTTCCAATCCACTTGGCCATGTTTTGAAGACTCTGTGCATACAACAAATATTCCACATTAGCTATAACTTCTGCATGCTACAAATCTCCAAACATGCATACTAAATTTGACTGACCGAATAGGAAGTAGTCGAGGCTTTTGTTAGGCACAAACTCATAAACAAGTGTCTTTTCTTCTCCTTCCACGCAAAATCCAAGAAGCCTAACAAGATTTCTATGCTGAAGCTTTGCCACAAGAACAGCCTCATTCTTGAAATCTCTTGCACCTTGTCCTGATGCTTTTGACAGCCTCTTAACCGCAACTTCTGTCCCATTAAGAACAGCCTACATACATAATGAATATGAAAAAAACATCATCACACTTTATTTATTATTTCTGCGGAAATCACAGATTAATAATACCTTGTAAACTTCTCCAAATCCACCTTGACGGCTTGACCTATTACGTTTCTCTCTGTTGCAGCTTCAATTGTTTGGAAATCAAATTTTGCAGTGGGTTTGTATCAGTGATATTAATACTAGATCCTACAAAAGAACATTCATAATTAATACTAGCTCCTACAAAAGAACATACATAATAAAACAGAGACAGTCATCAAAATTGTGGAAGAAAATCCATTTTAAGTAAGATGAAAAAATAAAATCCAATTTATACATCATAATCACACCCCAATAGTATAACGGAAATGACGTATAAAACACGTAACAACTCACCTTGGCGAACAATAGCTCGGTCTGATCACTTTCTCCTCCTGCAAACATAAATTGTTATAGCATATAGTACTAAGAAGATAATTGCCAACAATTGCCACAACGATTCCTGCTGAGATTGACTCACTACCTGCACAATCCCATGCAAAGTTTCACACAAAGAAACATAAATAATACAATGTTATGAATACGTTTTAAGCCTTTGTAATTTTTTTGAGGCAAACAGAAGAAAACTAACTTACCTCTCTTAGTTGTGTTTGTCCTGTTTCCCTTCGGAATGTGGTAGAGATGTCGGTGGTGGTCGAGGCGGAGATGCCGAAGCAAGATCAAAAGCCTGAGAGAAAGGATAGATTTCCCACCTGAAAACACTCAACACCTTGGCTGGGACGGAAAACAATCCCACCTTGGTACCCACGGCAACAACTTTCATAGTCTCTGACACTTTGTTTCAAACAAATGTTGCAATCTCGCAGAGATAAGATCGAAGTGCATTGCATTAACGCGTATACATTCTGAATAGGTGTCAAAGGTACTTTTTCAGCTGCATAGTACTTGCCTTGAGATGAAGATGAAGTAGCTCCATCTATCACACGACTTGTTAAGTCCTCCCACAATTTATTAAACTCCGTTAAATTGGATCTTATAGCTCCACTGTTGTATAGTACATAACTTGGTTCCAACTCTAGTGATCCGAAAAACGAGCGGTTGGAGTAACGTACCATACAAAGAATCACATTTTCCGGCCAGGCTAGGCCTTCTGTCTGGTTTGGACATTTCTCTATCATTGCTTTAGAAGCAAGGTCGATACAGTTTGAGTAAACTTTTGGATCAGCACCTTGGATGCACATCCCCAGAGCATACACTCGATCAGGGCCTTGTCCAAGCGAAGCATTGTAGAAGCCGCCTCGGGCCGAGACATTAGAAGCGAGAGAAGAGAGGAGAAGGCCACGGTTTGAATCATACTTACTACAAGGTGTAAAAAAACCAGTTGTCCCACATTCTTGTTATGACACAACAGAAAAGCCTACAAGGAAAAACAAGAAGATAGGCAAAAGATTTTTCAATTCCATGTTTGAAGATCATATGAATGTTCTGCAAGTGTGTGTGTGTGTGTGTTTATATGCATATATATTATGTTCAGCAACACCTCTGTTTCAATTAAATTTGCATCAAAAGTTGTCTTTGACCCGTTGGTCCATGTGTCGTAATCAATGTCTAAGTTGTTTGACTCGTGCAATATCTGCTGGGTGAAGCGTAGAGAAAGGGTTGGTACGTGTTCAAAGATTGTTGCAACTGTCTACATGAATGAATCATGTGGCACCCATAAGAAGACGTTATAAAAATCAGAGCAAAGACTAATAAATATCAGTCTTTTGACAAAGACTAATACAAAGTAAAGACAAAACACAAAGACTCATTAGCTGCTTCACAATTTCTATCTCAGAAATCTAAATCATAGAGCGCCATTAGAACCAAATTGCTAATCCCTAATTCCTAACTGTCTTGAGCGAAAATAGATAATTCAATTTCACCAAATTCGGAAATAGCTTAAGTTTCCGGTCTATATGATATATTGATATCGGTTAAGTAAACTAACAGGTGCCGGTTCACATTCATATCAAATTCGTCTAATTTCAGCCAAAACATTAGAGTAGGAGAACTAACATGATTGTTGAAGTCACAAATCAAAGGATCAATCGGTTTACAAACAACAAAGGATCAATCGGTTTTGAAACGAAACATTGGTTACCAAGGAAATGAAGACCATGGCAACGTAAAAGAAATGGACCCCACTTTTATTACCTGTCTTGCAAGAAAAGAAAAACAATGTGTGATCATTTTTTTTTTTGTCATATGAAAAACTTATGAAAATTATGCTTTTATTATATGATTTTTTTTTATTCATGCTTTTATTGCAAATTATGAAAACAACTAATTTCTTTTTCCATTCAACAAAGATCATTTAACGGCTTTGATTACACCACGCATATTATAATTTTGCTATAAAATGCTTCTATTAGTTTGTAAAAAATTTATGTTAGAAAATCAAAGGTGTTTATTTTATTAGATACAGTACGTAGCATAACTGTAACAGTTTAGAAAGTGTGATTGTGGAGCTAAACACACTAACAAATTAATCAAAGAAAATTCCTTCATTTTCTCAAATAGATATATAGCGACTGAAAAGTAAGTCGTTAGGCAAACCCGTTACCCACGATATAATGAAGCATTTCACTTTCACATGCGAGAAAAAACAAAGCAATAAAACAAAAAGAAACTTCCATTTTTGCTTAAAACACAAATAAAAAAAGTTGATTTTTACTCGTCAAGTAGAAGTGTCTTAAGGTTTTAAGCGTTGATGTGGACTTTCAATAAAGTCTGTAATACTTTTTTTAGAGAGCAGCACTATTCCGTATCCGTAGCTTGAGAGTATTTAAGACCATCACTAATAAAATGAAAAGGAAAATACATGAAGAAATTACTCTAAAAGTATTGGAAAAATGTCTGCTTATGCTTATGGTTTCCTCTTCCTTCTCACTTTCCTTACAAGCCTGAGACTATCTGTACAGCAACAACGCAGACCGACTTACGTCAGTTATGTTTGTCCGCCGAGGATAACTTTCCTCAAAAACAGTACATACTCTTCCAACCTCAAAACCCTTCTGTTCTCTTTATCTTCCAACTACAATCATTTTTACTCTTTTGGCTTCCAAAGCCTCACAGAGGGAAGAAAACCTGACATGGTATTTGGTCTTTTCCTCTGCCGCGGAGACATAACGCCAGAAATCTGCCGTGACTGCGTCAGCTTCGCCATCAACGACACTCTCAATCGGTGTCCAAACGGAAAGAAGGCCTTGGTTTATTACGACGAATGCATGCTTGGATACGCTGACCGAGATATTCTCTTGAATCCTATAACCAAAACTGGACAGTTGATGGTCAACCAAACAAGTGTTGCCGCAAACCAATCTGATCGGTTCAGTAAGGTGGTCCTTTCTTTGTTGAACGAAGCTGCAATGGAGGCTGCTTCTAGCCCAAGTAAGTTTGCGGTTAAGAAGGAGAACTACACATCATCCCAAACGGTTTATGTATTGGTTCAGTGCATGCCTGATATGCCAACATTAAACTGCTCAAGCTGTCTACAACAAATCATCAAGAAATTGCCTCGTGACAAAATTGGAGCAAGAATTCTTTGGACGACTTGTACCTTAAGGTACGACCATTACCCTTTCTACAATGAAACCGTAAGGTACCCTCCATTGCCGCAGCCTGGTAAGAGATCTCCCTCTATCTCTATCTGCACTTACAAGTTTTTTCGGGGTAGTCATTCAAGATTTGGGAAAGAATTAATCATATGTCATGAGAAACTTTCTTCCTCCTCCGGTTTCAGCTCCTCTGTTGCCGGTGATGACTCCTCCGCAGGCTTCAGCTCTTCCGTTGCCGCCTGGTAAATGTTTTCTCTTTAAGTAACTTTTTCCCTTCATTTTCTTGACTTGTGGAGTTTTAATTTGTGATGAGCTAGACATTCAATATTTTGGAAAAGTCATGTTGTCCTGTCTGTTCTAATCCATCCGCAGGAAAAGGAGGAAATTCCATAGTGATAATCATAGCAACTGTTGTGCCGATAGCTGTCTATGTTCTTCTGTTTGCAGTTATTTCTAGCTTCCATGTCACAACGAGACGGAAGAAGACTTATGAGACAGCAACTGCGGATAATGGTAAAAGATTCCAAAATACACTTAGTGTTTGCAACTTTAAAAAGTTTTTATGGAGCTTAATGATTATTAAAACATATGATTTTGCAGATGGGGAGGATATTACAACTGCTGGCTCTTTGCAGTTTGATTTTAAAGCTGTTGAAGCTGCAACGGATAAGTTTTCGGAAAGTAACAAACTTGGTCAAGGTGGATTCGGAGAAGTTTACAAGGTATAATATTTAACCATTTCATTGAGCTTCATAATAGATATCAAACATTACATAGGTAATGGTTTCGGATTAAATTCGTTATTTTCTTTGTAGGGAACATTTCCTAATGGATTACAGGTTGCGGTTAAGAGACTATCGAAAACATCAGTACAAGGTGAAAAAGAATTCAAGAATGAGGTTATTGTTGTGGCAAAGCTTCAGCACCGAAATCTTGTCAAGCTTCTCGGATTTTGTTATGACAGAGAAGAGAGAATACTTGTCTATGAGTTTGTGGCTAACAAAAGTCTCGATCACTTCCTCTTTGGTCAGTCAACATAATATTTTAGCCCAAAACTTCTCATTTTTCAACCCCATTCTTGAGACTATTGTAGTGTTTTATAACATTTTAAAAAGGATTGTCCAGATTCTACATTGAAAAGCCAGCTAGATTGTACTACACGGAACAGGATCATTGGAGGAATTGCTAGAGGGATTCTATATCTTCATCAAGATTCACGGCTCACTATCATCCATCGTGACCTCAAAGCCAGTAACATTCTCTTGGACGGTGATATGAACCCAAAAGTTGCAGATTTTGGAATGGCCAGAATTTTCGAAATGAACCAAACTGAAGCCGATACAAGAAGAGTAGTGGGAACCTAGTAAGTTTTCCATTTCCACACATATTTCCTTTAGACATGTAACATGCTTCCATCAACTTAACCTTTAAGGTTTGGTCTATATAGTGGCTATATGTCTCCCGAGTATGCCATGTACGGCCAATTCTCAATGAAATCCGATGTCTATAGCTTCGGAGTCTTAGTTCTTGAGATTATAAGCGGCAAGAAGAACAGTAGTCTCTACCAGATGGATGGTACTGCTGGAAATTTGGTTACATATGTGAGTATACATCCCTTAAAACTATCAGTGTTTTAGCTTCATCTAACAGTGACCATATTTTTGCTCCGTAGTATACTTCCAACGTTTTAATTATTAAATTCTTTACTAGACTTGGAGGCTATGGAGAAATGGGTCACCATTAGAGCTTGTGGATCCATCCTTTCAAGAGAATTATCAAGTAAACGATATAACCAGATGCATCCATATAGCTTTACTATGTGTTCAAGAAGAGGCTGAAGATCGTCCAACCATGTCAGAAATCGTCCAGATGCTCACTAGTAGCTCAATTGCTCTCGCCGTTCCTCAACCGCCTGGATTCTTCTTCCGGAAGAAACATGAAGAACTAAGAGAAGCAGGTCCATCAATGGATTCGTTCGCTCCCTGTTCTGTCGACCATGATTCCATTACTAATCTAAGTCCTCGTTGAAGACAACACGTTTCACAAAGACTAATAAGCATAGACAAAGAAGAAAAAATTGTCTTATTAGTTAAACTGCTTCCATTGTTGTTCATTTCTTTAGTTGCACGGCAAGTACGTAAACGATACTCTTGTTTATAGTTTTGTTTCCTGGAGGAGAAATTAAAAAGGGACAAAAAGGGTGATGAGAATTATAGGAGTATGAATTAATGATTCTTCGACATTAAGTTTCTTTGTGTATTAGAAGACAAATTTGCTAGTTAATTACGGTATGGAGAAGCTATGTTGTAACTTGTAAGGAAAAAGAGAGACGAAATGATGTAAGTAGGTATGTTTCCACTGTTTGGAAAGACTTCATATGACTCGGTAAATCTAATACACATGTTGTAAGAAACTAAAAGTTCAACAAGTAACATAACGTACTATAATTTAGGAAGTCAAAGACTCTCTTAAGAAGTCAACCTTCCACTGAGAGTGTTGATTGGTTCTCAAGCAAAGGCTAGTAGCCTAGTGCTCTAGATAACCTTTTAACTTCTATGTGTTACTGTTTGTAACTTTTTAACATTTTATTTGTTGATTCATCAGCTAAGAAAATAAAAACGGTGCCGGTTTAGTGTCTTATCACCCACGCTCTCCGATATGTTTTTTTTTTCTTCTTTGAAATAGGTTCATAACTTTATTTTCTCTACATAATTATAAAAAAAAAACTTATATTGACATATTGTTGATTATGTTCTTCATTTGATTATCAAGAAAAACTTGATGTTTTGGCATAGTTGACTGAAATTATATTCTTTTACAAAAGATAATCATTGACTGAATGTGGCTGGTTATTAAAAAGAAAGTATGTGAACCTCTACGTCCGGACACTTACCGCATGGACATTAGCCACAAACACGACGACAATTCCTGTTTTGGTTTGCCGACGTCAGAAACAAACAAAACAAGTATTCCAAATAGAAAGTTGAGGTTTACGCGTCAAGGATAAGTTTTTGTTTTCTTCTTTTTTTGGTTTTAAGCGTTGACGTGGACTTGAAATACTGTGTTGTTTTACAGAGCAGTGTTTGATTGGCTTCAGACTATCAATAAAAAGAAGAAAAAACAGAGAGAAGTGTTGGAAAATGTCTGCTTACGGCTTCCTCTTCCTTCTCACTTTCCTTACAAGCCTGAGTCTTTCCGTACAGCAACAACGACCTGAATACGTGGGTTTTAATTGTTCATCAAGAACTTACCTCAAAAACAGCAAATACTCTTCCAACCTCAAAACCCTTTTGCTCTCTCTTTCTTCCAAGGACAATCACCTTTTCTCCAATGGATTTCAAGGCCTTAATACGGGAGACGACCAAGACGCGGTTTTCGTGGTTTTCCTCTGCCGCGGAGACTTGTCCCCTGAAACCTGCGGTGACTGCGTCAGCTTTGCCGTCAATGACACACTGAATCAGTGTCCAGATGGCAAAGAGGCTCTGATTTATTACTCAGACTGTATGCTTAGATACTCCGACCGGGATATTCTCGTGCATCCTCTAATCAGTAGTGGAAAGTTGTTGGTAAACGATTTGCGTGTTGCGGCAAACCTATCAGGTCGGTTCAACAAGGTACTCTTATCTCTGTTGAACGATGCTGCGGAGGAGGCTGCTTCTAGTCCAAGAAAGTTTGCGGCTAAGAAGGCCAACTTCACGTCGTCTCAAAATGTTTATGTAGTGGCTCAGTGCACGCCTGATCTTAGAAAAGAGAACTGTTCAAGCTGTCTGCAACGAAGTATCAGTCAATTGCCACGTGACAGAATCGGAGGTAGGCTTCTTTGGCCGAGTTGTAACTTAAGGTACGAGCTTTACCTTTTCTACAATCAAACCCTTAACGCAACTCTTCCAGTGCCTCTTCCTCCTCCTCTGCAGCAGCATGGTAAGAGCTCTGAGATCTCTCTTTGTAATAATATTTTTGGTTGAGAGATTAGTTCAAGATTTGGGAAATTTTGTGTCGTTTCTGATTCAAGATTTACACAGGAAAAGGCAGAAAGTCCACACTGATAGTCATAGCAACTGTGGTGCCACTAGCTGTCTCTGTTCTGCTTTTCATAGCTTGTTATTGTTTTCTCGCAAAGAGAGCAAAGAGAGGGAAGAAGACATACGAAACAGCAGCTGCAAATGATGGTAAAAGATTCCAAACTATACTAGTGTTTGCTAGTTTAGTTTTTTTTTGAAAGACCATAATACTTAAAGAAACATTTGGTTTTTTTTTTTCAGATGAGGATGATATTACAACTGCTGGATCACTGCAATTTGATTTAAAAGCCATTGAAGCTGCAACGGATAAGTTTTCAGAGAGTAACAAACTCGGTCAAGGTGGTTTCGGAGAAGTTTACAAGGTATAATTTACCAGTTTACTGAGGTAGCTTTGTAATTAGTTCCACAACAGATCTAAACAGAGTAATAGTTATTCATATAATACACTTTTTAGGGCACATTTCCTAACGGATTACAAGTTGCGGTGAAGAGACTATCGAAAACATCAGGACAAGGAGAAAGAGAGTTTAAGAATGAGGTCATTGTTGTGGCAAAGCTTCAGCACAGAAATCTGGTCAGGCTTCTTGGATTTTGTTTGGAAAGAGAAGAGAAGATACTTGTCTACGAGTTTGTGCCAAACAAAAGCCTTGATTACTTCCTCTTTGGTAAGTTATTCAATATTTTAGCCCATTCTTAAAACCACTGATCTTTAACATTGTAAATACGGATGGTGCAGACTCTATGTTGAAAAGTCAATTGGACTGGACAAGACGGTACCAAATCATTGGAGGAATTGCTAGAGGGATTCTTTATCTCCATCAAGATTCACGACTCACAATCATCCATCGTGATCTTAAAGCGAGTAACATCCTCTTGGATACTAATATGAGCCCTAAAGTTGCAGATTTTGGGATGGCGAGAATTTTTGGAATGGACCAAACGGAAGCCAATACAAGAAGAATAGTTGGAACCTAGTAAGTTTTCAATTTCCACATGTTGGCTTTAGAGATGTAACATGTTTGTATCAACTCAAGATTTGAGTTTTTTTTTTTTTTTTTCACAGTGGCTATATGTCTCCAGAGTATGCGATGTATGGCCAATTCTCCACAAAATCTGATGTCTACAGCTTTGGTGTCTTAGTTCTTGAAATCATAGGTGGGAAAAAGAACAATACTCTCTATCAAATGGATGGTAGTGCTGGAAATTTGATTACATATGTGAGTATACAACCTTCAAATTTCCAGTTTTTTTGCATCATTTAGTAGTGACCAACGTTTAAATGTTCAATAGAGTTGGAGTCTATGGAGCAACGGGTCCCCGTTAGAGCTCGTGGATCCGTCTTTCCAAGATAACTATCAAACAAAAGAAATTACCAGATGCATCCATATCGCTTTGCTATGTGTTCAAGAAGAAGCTGACGATCGTCCAACCATGTCAGCCATCCTCCAGATGCTCACTACTAGCTCAATCCCTCTTGCTGTTCCTCGAAAACCTGGATTTTTCTTCAAGAATAGATATGGACAAGTAGAAGAAGCAGGACCATCTATGGATTCTTCTGCTCTCTGTTCTGTCGATGATGCAACCATTACTCATGTAGTTCCTCGTTGAAGACGTAACGTTTTACAACCACTGATAAGCATCAACAATGATGCAAGAGTTGTCTTAGGTAAACAGCTTCCATTATTGTTCATTTTGTTCTTTAAGTGCACGGCAAGTAAGTAAAATATGCTCTTGCTTATGAAGAGGACTAATGGCGTAGTAGCTGATTCTTGGAGAGCAAGTTTGTTAGTTAAGTACGGTAATTTGCAGAAGCTATGGAGTTAGAGAATAAAAGAAAAATGAAAATGATGTAGGCATGTAATCATGTTTCAGTTTCGTTTTCCTCTTAGTATAGTCTTCAGTTCAGAGTTTGTTAAGTTTGTACAATATTTAAAAGTCAACGGCGATCTTAAGAAGTCAACCTTCCATTAAGAGTGTTGATTAGCTCTGAAGCAATGAAGGATAGAACGAGATAAATTTGGTTTGTGAACTTACTTTTTTTAGATTTTAACCTTTAAGTTTGTTTTATGTTTGGTAGGAATGTTATAAAAATGGTGCTGTCTTATTCACTCAAAGTCTCCGCGACTAGCAGAACAATCATTAACTTACAAAAATTCAAACTCATTAATTTTCATTTCTTTATTTTCTCTGATTTTCTCATTCACATGATTATTCTAAAAATATAAATAGTTGATTCGTTGTTCTTCTTTTAATCAAACAATAAAAGTTGATGTTATCTTGGAATTGACTTTGACTTGCAAGAAGTTGTCTTATTTTACAGAGACAAAAAAGCATAGACTTAGACTGGTTGGCTGCTTTCACATTCATCCATTCATTAGTACTCATAAATCAATAAAGAAAAAAAAAAGACAAAGAAAAACAGAGCAGAAAGGAGAAGAGATTGAAGAATGTCTCCTTATACCTCATTAAAGTCTCTCTTCCTTCTCACCATCATCATTGCAAGCCAAACAGCTTCTGCACAGTTACAAGACCCTACTTACGTCGGCCAAGATTGTACCAACAGGATATCAAGAAACACAACTTACTTCTCCAATCTCCAAATACTATTGACCTCTCTCTCTTCAAACACTGCTTTCTTCACCATGGGGTCTCATAGCCTCACAAAAGGTCAAAACGCTGACATGGTATTCGGAACTTATCTCTGCAAAGGTGATCTCTCCCCTGAAGCTTGCCGTGACTGCGTCGTTTTCGCCGCCAAAGATGCTCCGACTCGATGTCCAGGAGGGAAAGAGTTCTTGATTCAGTACGATGAGTGCATGCTCGGATACGCAGACCGGAATATCTTCATTGATGCTGTAACAAAAACTAGAATCATCACTTGGAACACTCAGAATGTTTCAGCTGACCTATCGGACCGGTTCAACAGCTCAGTGTTTTCTCTGATCAACAAGTCTGCGGTGGAAGCGGCTAATAGCACAACAAAGAAGTTTGCGGTTAACAAGTCTAATTTCACTTTGTCACGGATGCTTTATGCATCTGTTCAGTGCAATCCTGATCTCTCTAGTGAAGATTGCTTAAGTTGTCTGCGGCAATCCATCAAGGAGTTTTATTTTAGGAGCGTTGGAGGAAGAGTTCTTGTCCCAAGTTGTAACTCAAGATACGAACTTTACCCTTTCTACAATGAAACCCTGGTGACAAGTCTCTCTCCATTGCCGCCGGTTTCAGCTCCTCCATTGCCACCTGGTAAAACCTCTCTCTCTTTCTCTCTGTCTCTGTTTCCCTTCATTTTCTTGATTTTTTGGTTTAGATTATTTTGTGTTAAGACATTCAAGATTTGGGAAAGAATCATGTGTCATGTTGAATCTAATACTTTGGCAGGAAAAGGAGGAAATTCTACAGTTATAATCATAGCAATTGTAGTACCGGTCACTGTCTCTGTTCTTATATGTGTGGCTTTTTTTAGCTACCGTCTAACAAGGAGAGTGAAGAAGACTTATGATACAGCAGCTGCAGATGATGGTAAAGATTCCAAAATTTCTCTGTGTGTGTGTGTGCTGCTTAAAGCTTTATTTTATATATCTGAAAAACTATTCATAATTTTTGTATACAGAAGGGGATGACATTACAACTGCAGGTTCACTGCAGTTTGATTTTAAGGTTGTTGAAGCTGCGACAGATAAGTTTGCAATATGTAATAAACTCGGTCAAGGTGGATTCGGCAAAGTTTACAAGGTATTGCAATAGAGACTCTATATACACTAATAAGCTCCTTAACAGATCCAAACAGGGGAATGATTATTACTAGATTTCATAATCTTTGTAGGGCATATTACCAAATGGATTACAAGTTGCGGTGAAGAGACTATCGAAAACATCAGGACAAGGTGAAAAAGAGTTTAAGAATGAGGTTCTTGTTGTGGCAAAGCTTCAGCACAAAAACCTTGTCAAGCTTCTTGGATTTTGTCTGGAAAGAGAAGAGAAAATACTTGTATACGAGTTCGTGCCTAACAAAAGCCTTGATTATTTTTTGTTTGGTTACTTAAATCCAAATTCCAATACTTAACTGAAACTTTTTCTTTTTCCAATCCATTCTTGACATTCTTACTATAAATGTGCAGACCCTAGAATGCAGAGCCAGCTGGATTGGACTACACGGTACAAGATTATTGGAGGAATTGCTAGAGGAATTCTTTATCTTCATCAAGATTCACGACTTACAATCATACACCGGGACCTCAAAGCGGGTAACATCCTCTTGGATGCTGATATGAACCCCAAGGTCGCAGATTTTGGAATGGCCAGAATTTTCGAAATTGACCAGACGGAAGCCAACACAAGAAGAATAGTTGGAACCTAGTAAGTTTTTCTCTTGCTATTATTTGAATGTAGAGACTGTATTATGCTTCTGTTAACTCAACATATTATTGTTTCAGTGGTTACATGTCTCCCGAGTATGCAATGTATGGCCAATTCTCGATGAAATCAGATGTCTATAGCTTCGGAGTCTTAGTTCTTGAGATTATAAGCGGCAAGAAGAATAGTAGCCTCTATCAGATGGATGGTAGTGTCTGCAACTTGGTTACATATGTGAGTGTACATAGTTAAAATTTATAAAAATATTCTCTCTTTTACTTAAAAGCTACCAAAAAATTTCTAAGTGTGTTATAATGTTTAATAGACTTGGAGGTTATGGAGCAATGAGTCTCCATTAGATCTTGTGGATCCGTCCTTTCAAGAAAATTATCAAAGCAACGAAATAAGTAGATGCATCCATATCGCCTTATTATGTGTCCAACAAGACACTGAAGATCGTCCAACCATGTCAGCGATCGTCCAAATGCTTACTACTAGCTCGATTCCTCTCGCAATGCCTAGACCACCTGGACTTGTTTTCCGGGGCAATCATGAACAAGCAGGTCCATCAATGGATAAGTCTGCTCTCTGTTCCATCGATGAGGCTTCGATTACTTCTGTAGCTCCTCGTTAAAGACAAACCCATAAACCAAAAAGAATTCCAATGGGTTCATGTCAGAATATAAACCGTGAAATCTTGATGGAGATTTAGAACTCGTTTTCTCTCAACAAGAATTTTTTTATCGTGATCATATTAAATTCTAGGAGAATGTAACTAGCCATCCCTTTAATGATATATATTGTATGTTGTCTAATCCACTCGACTCTCTTTTTAATAGTCTTTAGTTCAAAGCTTGCCAAGTCCACATATGACTCTACAAATCTAATTCACTGTTGTAAAGTTAAAAAAGTAAGTAGTACGATGATTTAAGAAGTCAACGACCATCTTAAGAAGTTAACATTCAATTAAGAGTGTTGAATGGTTCTGAAGCAATGAAGTCTAGAAACAGTAGAACTGAATCAGCTAGGATTGTGAAATTAATGTTCTGTTTTTACTTTTTAAGTTCTAAATGTTCATCTGTTACTTGTCCGGTAGGGAAGTCAAAACGGTGCCGTCTCATCACCCAAAGTATCAGCGCCTACGTATCTAGTCCAATTTGTTTAAGTTTTTACTCGGAATTAGATTGATAAACATTAAAAAAGAAGTATGTGAACTTCATTTTCTCCACAAGATTATTCAAAAATTAAGTAGTTGATAATTCGCCTTTTAATTAAGCAATATCCCATAAAAGTTGATGTTACTACTTAACATTATATTGATGTTACTCGTGTAGTTGACTTTGACTTGCATGAATTTGTATTATTATCTTAGGGTTATGGTACAAAATTAAAGACTTTCTGGTTTCATACTTCATAGTCAATTCATTAGCACCCATAAACCAGTATTAAAAATACAGAAACAGAGAGGAAAGGAGAAGAAGTTGAATACGGTCTGCTAATAATAAACTCTCATTAATCTCTCTCTTCCTTCTCACCTTCTCATTTGCAAGCTTAAGAGAGTTACGACAAGCACAAGACCCGACTTACGTCAGCCATTATTGCAGTGAGTGGACAACAACAAACGCCATATACTTCTCAAATCTCAAAAACTTTCTTCTCAGATCTCTCGGTGGAAGCTTGCCGTGAGTGTGTTGTATATGCTTCTACGAGATTTGATTATAATTCAACATTTTCTGTGTTCATATATATTAGAATCTACGAGAATGTTACTAGGAGTACTTACTAGCAATCCCTCCAATGATATTGCATAGTACTATTGTTTAATCCAAGTGGCCCCTCGTTTTGTTACTTTTGTATGGTCTGCATATAATGAATGTATAGATATTTTTCCACCGCATGACTATCTTTTAGGTTGACTTGACTCGTGTGACGAATTTTGTTAAGTCAACCATAGAGTTTTGCAATTATTTTGACTTAGAAAGGACACTGTATAGTTGTTAACATAGAGAAAGCGAGAGCAACCACAAAGGCACTAACGTAGAGTCGAAGACGAATACTATCTTTTGTACTTTTGTAACCAAGTCTCCATTCTTTTGGATATCCCATTGTCTTCTCATACAAAACAACAAAAATTTGTTTCGATCAAACCAGTTCTAAGTTACGCAGAGGCGGCAGAGCAATGGTACCTCAACGGAACCATCAATCGAATATTCATAAATTTTACCCGAGAAGGCAAAAAAAAGTTATTCAGATCCATTATAGTACAAAAAGAAAGAAAAGAATTTATGATTAAAAAGGACATGAACCCACTCCACTTATCATGATCAATTGCTTGGTAAGAAAACAAGGGCATTAAGCCAAAACCTAATTCTTTTTCCTTACTCAACAAAAAACTGTGTACATTTATTATGTACAATCCCAATTATATTTGAGATGAAGCCCATTTTTTACCCTGGAGCCCTTATAAGATAGGAAACCGTCGTGTAATTGACTTTGACTTGCAAGAAATTGTATTATGTAAAGGGAAAACAAAAAAGGGGTATAAGCAAAGACTAGCTAGTTTCAGTCATTTCGTTAGTTCTTTTTTTTTTTTTTTTTTTTTTTTTTTTTTTTTGCCAACAAAACAGAGGCGTAGCTTGAGACATATCTTTTTTTTTTTTTTCGTTAGTTCTCCTTTCATATCTGTTTCTTTTATGTCTTTTTGTTTTGTTTTCCAACTAAGGGGTATAAACCAAAAAACAAAACAAAAAGACATAAAAGAAACAGATATGAAAGGAGAAGAAGTTGGATAATGTCTGCTTACGCCTCATTTATATCTCTCTTCATTCTCATCTTCTTCATTGCAAGCTTTAGACCTTCTGCACAATCACAAGACCCGACTTACGTCGGCCATAACTGCAGTAACAAGACAACAGCTAACACCACATATTTCTCAAATCTCCAAAACATTTTGACCTCTCTTTCTTCCACTACTTCTTTTTATATAATCCATGGAATCTCATAGCCTCGCAAAGGGTCATGGCGGTGACATAGTGTTCGGACTTTATCTCTGCAGAGGAGATCTCTATGTGGAAGCTTGACGTGAGTGTGTCGTATTTGCTTCAAAAGACGCTCAGAGCCGATGTCTACGTAGACATGAACCTACTCACTTATGATGCCATAGCTTGGCCATAAAACAAGGGCATGCAGCCAAAACCTTAATTTTTTTTCCTTACTCGACAAGAAAACTAACAGTCTTCATTAATTATGCACAATCCCAATAAAATTAAGATGAAGCCCATTTTTACCCTGACCCCTTATAAAGATAGGACACCGTTGAAATCAAGTTGGCTAGGATTGTGAACCGATCTTACTCTGCTTTACAATACTTGGTTTGATGTAACTTTTTGTGATAGAACAGTGTAAACTCAACAAATGGTCTTGAACCGAGAGGGAATTGATGATTGATTCATTGGTTCTCATCCACTTCCTACTGTAAAAACTGAAACAAGCATTAAGAATCTATTCAAAGCACCACGCTTTGAAGAAAAAAAAAAAGAAACAATCTTCATAATCCAATTGAATACATGATAACACATGTAATTATTGAAAATCCGGAAAAACAAACCTAAACTTTAATAACTGAAAGTTTTAGATAAGCCATGATCTGCATCATTAATTGAAAAGACAACTCTAGGAAAAACCCCTCCAGAGATTTTATTGAACAAAATGAAGATCAAGATATCAAAAATCGTTGAGATAAGAATCAGAGTTGACACTGTCGGAGGTTGATGCTACTGACTCCTCATTGTCAGCCGTTCCTTCATCAACACCACTGAGACCGTCCTGGCAAAACAAAAAGAAAAACTTAATTACTTAAATTGTTTATTTGTACAAACTGGGTGACACTTCTATAAATTTTGCAATATAAACAAGAATCTTCGTGTAGATTGTACGATCTTCAACTTGATGTTGACTACGATAATGTCATGAAAATATATCAATAATATCTTAAGAGAATAAGTTCTTTTTATGACCAAATGATATCGTAGCTCTAATATGAACCCATATTATTGCTTATGGCGTGTGGTTTGCCTTATGATAAGATAATTCTACGAGTACAACTGAATTAAATTAGAGATAATTCTGCAAATTCCATAGAGGATGATATTAGTTCCTAAAGGATATGTAACAAATTCCTAAATGACATTAGTTGATAAGACCTTACCTATAGCACCACCAGAGTACACCTAAATGATAATATTTCCTATGTGATGATGTAATAAATTCTTCAAAAATTATGTTAATCTCATATCATGATCCCCGAAATCTTCTAGATTCGCTATTATACTCAAATATAATGCAAAATTTAATCATCAAACATCAATGTGGCATGTGGCATAACGTACTAAGGTATATTTACCGTTAATTTGTTAGATCAAGTGTCAAGACCAACTGTTAAAGCCTAGGGTTTCCAAACACACACAAAAAGACAGAAAAAACGGGGGAAAAAAAACAAAAGTTGAGGAGAAAATGCTAACTAACCTTGTTTTGATCAACTAGCTCCTCCGGTTTCTTGTATAAATTCCTTTGAGGAAATGCTTGTTTTCTCCTCGACTTTTTCTTCTTCTCATTGTTAACAAGACCAACTTGAGACATTATCTTTGCCACAAAAAGACCAAGCTTATCTGGTTGTTGCTCCTCCTCGACAATTGTATCACAGAACTTCTCGTAGAAACATGTAGCAGAGAGCTTCGACAGCTTCTTAATGTAACAGTCGTAGAAACGAGTCACAATGAAGTTAGGGTACTCTCCACAGTTTGGGATTTGCTTACCCTCTGGAACAAAACACACAGAGCAACTGTTCATCACAGATTCAGCAACCACTTCATCGCGATGGAGACTGTACAAGAGTTCCCTTGCATCTTTGGATTTCCAGTGTCTAACGTATTTTTTGTCCACGTCTTCTGGACGATAAAACCATTGCACCTCCAACATTAAAGATTCTTCCATGTCTCGTACATAAATATAAATATCCTGTCCAAAACATAGTTCGATTATGATAAGGTAAAAACTGAAATATCTTATAAATTCTTGTCTTCTTCTGTGTTACCTTTATGATCGCAACATAGGGCTTTTTGTTTGTGCCCTTTGGCATCAGCATCACTGATATCCTCCTATGCCAAAAAAATATACTATAATTAATAAATGGTTATACAATTGACACCACACGCACACACACACACAAAAAAAAAAAAAAAAAAAAAAAACAGCTGTGCTTCCAAAAGTCATTTTAGAATTTCTCACATTATTAAACAAATTACAATGTAGTGTTCATGCCTTGTATGTGGCACAAGCTATCTAATCTCTAGACTAATTAAGGCCACCATATAAGCCAAGGATTTTGGAGCCTTTCGTTTTTATGTAATACTAGAAAAATTGTTGTAATAAGCCAAGCAAACTCTAAAATTAAGAAATCTTAAGCAAAACAAAACTTACAAGTCCATAAGTTTTTCCATGAAACTGGAACTTCTCATAGTGACCTTTGCGGGTAAATCCAGTCAGACTAGTAAACTTAACCGATTCACCAATTGGTTGCGGGGAATCTAACTTCCGTTTCTTCTTCACCTGCTTAATCTGCATTCTCGGAACACTACGTTCCATCGCTTGATTTTTTCCCTACAATTATAGAACTAGGATCATTAGGACAAACAAAAAAAGTTGACATCAATCTCGCATATAACATTATACACCGGAGTATTTGTGGACCAAATATCTTTCAAAGAAAACAATTTGTGGACCAAATACTTCTCCATCTATATGATGGCGACCAGTCTTAAGGATCTAACAAAGACGAATCCATAAAACTCCAGAAATATTCAGTTATATTTTAAACAAAAAACAAAACAAAAAAAATTCAGATTACCGTACCTGAAGACTGATGCTTATATCCCACCTAACTTTTGTGATATGTTTGTATCTAATATTTTTGTGAGAATGTTTCTTTTATACTAGTTTTAATGACAATATCTATGCATGTACATGTATAATATCTGACCTGTATATTATTTGGTTCATGAATTATCAAGTCAAAGCTAATATATAGCTAAGACAGCTAATATGTTTATACTAGATCTTATCTATAAATGAATGCATTGGTCAAAGTTCACAAGATAAATTCTTCATACAGTTAATTTGTTTACAATTTTCACTCTTTGAGATTATCTCTAATGTATTACCTGATTTTGTGTCCACAATGGGCTAACTCCAAAATGAGAATAAATTCTTAATCCAATGTATTATTTCATATTTTCTACACCAGAAAATATTATACTATATATATAGATATATTTATATATTTTTTACTATTAATTACTACTTTGTAAATAAAAAAGTTAATCTCTTAGATGGAATATTGAAAATGGGGTGTCTCCATATTTGATAAAAAAAATGGCATTACTTCAGTTTTAGTTAAACTGAAAATGGAGTTGAGTAAGAGAAAATGTTAAAACGAGCATGTAAAGTGAAAAATAGGGTAGGGATAGAGATGGGCTTATAGATATTTGAGCAGAGCTCAAAGGGGTAAAAGATGAAAATTAAAAAATAATTTTTGAACTTAAAGGGATCGATGGAGATGCACTAATTGATATTGCCATCATAACAACGAACACAAAAAGTAATTAGAGAGTCGTTCAGCCACTCTTTTTTTTTGTTTTTTGTTAATTTACGTAGAACAATTCATATTCTACAAACTATCAGTTCTCATCTGGCAGCCATGTTTGCAATGTTAGGAAAACAAAATAATCATCCTTTGTTACTCAATATATGAATATAATATGATCGCATTTCTTTGTAGAAGTTCATGTAAGTACCTAGACGCCTTAGACCTAGAGTCTATTATGTACCAATATATATCCGTACACACAGTTTATATCAGTAAGATAACTTCTCTGCAAAGTATCATAGCCTTTGTACGATACATGTTATATTTGATATTTACTTGTCGTTCTTTTTTTTTTGGTCGAATACTTGTCGTTCTTAATATACAGTATAAAATCTAACACACAATTTATAGATGTAATATCTGACCTGTAAATGATTTGGTTCAAGGAAATATCAACTAAAAGGGAAATGAATACTAGATCTTATCTATAAATGAATACATAGGTCAATGTTTAGAAGATAAATTCTTCATACAGTTAATTTGTTTACAATTTCCACTCTTTAAATATATCTTTGATGTATTACCAGATTTTTTTTTTCCCAAAATGGGCTAACTCCAAATGAGAATAAATTTTAATCCAATGATTATATATATATATATATACTATTAATTGCTAAAACTACACTTAATATGTAAAATTTACAACTTGACCTTTTAACTTATATTTCTTTCAAAACTTTCATAAATTATGATATTTATTTAACTTTAATCATTATTATGTAAAAGAAGATTTCATAACATAAAATAATAAAAAAGTAGATATTAAAACTTAATTAGTCGATGTTGTGTTAAATATATTTAATGTTATTTTTATTTTTAATACTTTTTAAGTTTATTATCAATTAATATAATTATATTTTCTATCTAATATATGTTTTGTTTTGGAAGAATAAAATTTAGTACATTTTATTTTGTCATGTATCAAAAATATTTAATCCACACACACATATTATTATTACTCTTTAATTAATGAAATAATAAAAACTCATAAAAGAAAAAAAAAATTAATGACTACTCTGTAAATAATAAATTTCATCTCTAAATGGAACTGAAAATTGGGTGTCTCCATGCTTGGAGATAAAAATGGCATTACTCCGGTTTGAAGGTAAAAATAGAGTTAGAATTAGAGAAAAAGTTGAAATGGACATTTTTTTTTTGTTCACTTGAAATGGACATTTAAAGTGAATAATATGGTAGGGATGGAAATTGAGTGACAAATACCTAAGCAGAACTCTAAGCGCGGTAAAAGATGATAACTAAAAAAAAAAAAAATAGAACTCAAGGAGATGGATATTGCCATCATAATAACGAACACAAAAGTAATCTTTATAATATTAAATGAAAAATACATTCTAATTTTAATATTTGGATACAAGAATAAGAAATAAGAATTGTTTGGATACAAAAGTAAAAATAAAAACTGTTTGGATACAAAAATAAAGAGAAAAACTGTTTGGATACAAAAATAAAAATAAAAACTGTTTGGATACAAAAATAAAGAGAAAAACTGTTTGGATACAAGAATAATAACTTAAAACAAACCGGAGAATGGTTCAGACAAACCATAAATAAAATATGTTAATTGATCGGTTCACATGCTCTGGTGATCGGGTCGGGTTTGGATAGATATCGAACATGTTCATATATATCAGGTAGTTGGCTTTTACCCGTATAATACTGAATGAGTTTCAGTTTGGTATTGAGTTGGGTCCATTCAAATTCGGGTATATTCGGGTTCAAACCAAAAGCGGAATAATCTACAATACATATTATGTTAATTGATCCGATTTGATACCAAAATAAACCTAAACTGAAAAGATAATAAAAACCATAACCTCGTGGTACTACTGTGCGGATCGACTAGTAGTTATAGAGTCGTTTAGCCACTCTCTTTTTCACGATACATGTTAAAGTTGATTTTTTGTCGTTCTTAATATGGCATGCAGTATAAAATCTAACACACATTTTGTAGATGTAAAATCACATCTGAAAATCAACATCCCTTAATCGTAGTTATTTTTACACACTTTCTGCAAATATTGTCCAGAAATTAAGCTATCTAGCAAATAAACACTTCAATCTAAAAATATTTATTTCTACATGTATATATATGCATCGTGCATGTGCATGTCTGTTAATATGTGTTAATTTGCAAGATTAAACACATAGCTATCTAACACATGTTTCCTAGATCTGTGTGTCACTAGGTTGGCTACAAACTCTTTTTTATTTTGTTCTACTAGAAAAAAAATTAGCCCATAAAAAATGATTAATATTATTTTTTATTCATAATTCAGTTGAAATGTTGAATACATGCGTTTCACATGTTACTGATGCCAAATAAAATATATAAAAAAAAAACTTGAATAGCTGGAGTTTTAGATAAAAACTTAAATAACTGGAGTTTTAGATAAGAAATTATGGCCAACAAAAAAAAAGGAAAAGAAAAAGAAAAAGTCATGATTGACGAGAACTCTGGATAAAGAACTCGTCTAGAGATTTTGATCAACACAAATTAAGACGATCAAGATACCACTAGATATCTTTAATTGTCGAGGAAACATCAGTGCCTTATACTTTTGGACCGGAAGTGGATGAATCATCGTTCTTCAGTGGTGGTTCTTCGATGACAGCTGCTATCTTGTCAAGAGTATGACCGTTCTAACAAAAAAAAAATTGAAAAAACTAATCTTAGTAGTCACTTCAACATGTAAAATCACTTAAGATGCGATTAAATGTATACAATTCAGGGCAAGTGTTATTGCATCAACCGGTGATCATATTGAAGAAAGTATGTGAAAAAGAGACACTACCATTAGCTCATTGCTCGTCATCTTTTTAACCTGTTCTGGTTTTAATTCGCCATTGAGGATTCGTTCAGCAAGCACTCGTGAGCTCTACAAACAAACGAAAGGAAATTACTATTATCACTCAAAATACAAAGAAATTAAATGCTAACTTAAATTGATACTTGCAGCAAACTAATAGCACTGAATACAAACAATAATTTTAGCGGAAATATATATCATACCGGAAGTATAAATTTAGACTCCTATATAAAATTATTTTAATATCGGCCATCACACGATCCCCAAAATCTACTAGATTCCTTATTCTAGTTCAATCATCAAACATTAGTGTGGAATTTCACACAATAATTTATGTATTTTCTATAGAGCATAGCATATTTTATCTTTTTCATCGTTCGTTTGTTATATCAACTTTCAAGACCAGAGACATTTCATACTATATGAATGACATAATCGTCACATCCTATGGATTCTAAGCAGAACATGCGCACACACACAAATGATGGAGAGTATAACGCCCCGACCGCCCCTCCCGGTGAGTCACCCACGCCCTCTCTCTGGGCCCGCAGGCCCATCTCGGCCCGTGGGCCTCACCCCTGTCCGACGGCCGGTCCGTTATTTTTGAGAGGCTCTAATGACTTGTTTACTATCCCTGCAATCAACACCGACCTTTCCCCGTGTTTTGGCCTCACTCACACGGTTTCGGAAACCACTTCCCGAAAGGTCACCCATCCTTCAACTACTCCAGCCCAAGCACGCTTAACTCTGGAGTTACTTATAGACCTTTGACCGAAAAGGTAAGTGCACTTTGTTGACATAGGTAGCCAAATCAATTCTCTTAAGCCTCTCCTCATTTATCACAAACCGGGATGTTACAACTCACCCCCACTAACTATGCGCAACGTCCTCGTTGCGCACCTGGATCGTCACCCCCTGACGGTGTGAGTCAAGGCCACTTCAACTTGACTCCACACTCTCGTCTGGGTTTGGCTCTGATACCAAATTATAACGCCCCGACCGCCCCTCCCGGTGAGTCACCCACGCCCTCTCTCTGGGCCCGCAGGCCCATCTCGGCCCGTGGGCCTCACCCCTGTCCGACGGCCGGTCCGTTATTTTTGAGAGGCTCTAATGACTTGTTTACTATCCCTGCAATCAACACCCGACCTTTCCCCGTGTTTTGGCCTCACTCACACGGTTTCGGAAACCACTTCCCGAAAGGTCACCCATCCTTCAACTACTCCAGCCCAAGCACGCTTAACTCTGGAGTTACTTATAGACCTTTGACCGAAAAGGTAAGTGCACTTTGTTGACATAGGTAGCCAAATCAATTCTCTTAAGCCTCTCCTCATTTATCACAAACGGGGATGTTACAGAGAGAATGGAATTAAACTAACCTTGAGTGTATCAACTAGCTCCTTCGATATGTTATTGTACTTTGGCATATCCTCTCCGAAAGACTCAAATAAAACATGCTCAAGAGAACGCACCACAGGAACTGCATCATCTGGCCAGAAAGGATCATAATCACCAGCTTGTTTCTTCTTTGTTACACGACACTTGTGCTTCACCGCCTTTAGAAGCTCATCCAATCTATTGTCACGATCCAAATTTCCGGTTAACATACCAAATTTCTCCAAGATAGGACTCAGTCTCCTAGCTTTCTTGATGGTCCTTTCAGGAACAGCTTGTTTACCCCTCGATTTCTTAATATTTTGCTCCTTCTCAATGTCAGGAAGATCGCCAACTCGCGACATCGTCTGTGCCAAGAGAGCATCAATCTCTTGCTTTTGCTGCTTGTTAAAGTCCTTATCAGTGAACTTTCGCAGCTTCTTCTTAACAAAATCGTAAAGATTCTGCACAATAAAGCCAGGATGATCTTTACTGGTCTGGGACTTCCTTGTTATCCGGCACGAAATTCACAACGCAATTGTGCTTCACGGATTCAGCAAACACTTCATCGCGATGGAAACTGTAGAAGAGGTCCCTTGCATCTTTGGATTCCCATTTTCCGAGATATTCTTCCTCGACATCTTCTGGACGATAAAACCACTGCACTACAAGCTTCACGTATCCTTCTTTGCCTATTATATAAATGTCCTGTCCAACAATATAAATTGATTAATATAAGGTAAAAACTGAAAATTATGTCAACAATTCTCTTTTGATTTTTAACCTTTATGATAGCGGCATAGGGCTTCTGGTTGCGGACTCTGCCTTCATTAACACCGAATCCTCCTATGCAAAAAAATGGTATAAAATATATAAATTGGAGCTTTTGTTTTTATTAAAATGTTGTCCAAATTGTTATGTGAGTTTTCTTTTAAACACTAAAAAGCTGTTGTAATTAGACAGAAAAAAAATTAAGAAATCTTAAGGAAAACAAAACTCACCAGTTCATATTTTATGCCACGAAACTCAAATTTCTTGTAGTGGCCTTTCTTCTTAAGTCCTGTACCAGTAAACTTAATCACTTTGCCAACTGGCTGCGCACAATCCTCTCGTTTCCACTGCAACTCTTTTTTCTTCTTCATCGGTCTTTTCTCGGTATTTTCATTCTTTCGCTTACTCTGCTTCCTTACCGTTTGTTCGGCATTAACCTTTGAATCCTCTGATCCAGACAACGGAACAATGTCTTTTCCACTGTCTTCATCTTTGCTAATTACCACTTGATTGAATTGCTCAGTCAACATCTCTTTGGTGAACATGTGATACGATTTCAAATTGGATTTTAACCCTGCAGTAAAATTATGATCATTAGAAGAGAAATTGTTGGCATCAACCTGACAACATAATTTTTTTATGCCGGGATATTTAATGAAATAAAGAAAATAAACGATGGTAGAATAATTTGACATCTCAATAGAACACAGTCTTTATTATTCAGCCTAACATACAAAATATACGTATAAAAGTAATCAGCCAATATCTGAATAGTAACAAAAATGAGTTTTATAAAGATTGTGATATAGGCTAGGCTAATTATTTTCTTTTTTTAAAACTAAAATACTGTACCTTAGACATTGTAAATGTATATTATAAACTTCATCGCGATGGAAATTCACAATGCAGCTGTGCTAAATATGTGATAGAACAAAAAAATGTGAATTACTAATGCTAGTTAAAAATTGAATCACCCAAAAAACACCAATTAGTCTGCAACAAAAAAAACATATAACAAATTATCTAATACATTGATGAGTATATATTAATGTTCATGTGCTACGTGGTGGCTAGGATCCTAAATCAATACTATATGGTGGTTTAGACGGTTGAGATGACCATCTAAAAATCCAATTAGTGTAATTTTGGATTTAAAATAGTTCTGCAGATTGGAAGAACATTAAATTTAATAAGTTTTGTTATATTAATGAATATATATTATTGTGTATCCTATCATTCATTCATGCAACCAAGAAACTAAATCACCCACCAAACTTGAAAAATATATCATTTTACTTACTCAAAAACATAAACAAAAATTCTCAAATGACAAAAAGCTTGAAAATTTACTACCAGATAACTACTCCAACTTTATAATAAAAATTGCCTTAATAATTTAGATTATCTATCAAAATTAGTTTACGATGTTTATCCCAATAGATCAGTATTTGATTCTGTTTTGACTTCTCCTAACAAATCAAAGTATTCATACATGCCAAAATTCTGAAATAACCGATAGTTTTCCGATTAGTTTTCTGGGTGTTAGGCCGTACCCGAACACCCGATTAACGTCTAGCGCATTCTCGAACACAGATTTTATGAAAATTTACTAACAGAAAAATACTCAAACTTTGTAATAAAAATTACCTTGAGTATTTAGATTAACTATCCAAAATTCGTACTTTATGTTTGTCCCAGTAGATCAGTATTGATTTGATTCCGTTTCGGCTTCCGCTACCAAATCAAAGTATTCACGCACGCCAAATTTCTGAAATATCCAATTATTTTCCGATTAGTTTTTTAGGTGTTAGGCCTTACCCGAACACCCGATTACGTCTAGCGCATTCTCGAACACAGGTTTTATGAAAATTACTAACAGAAAACTACTCAAACTTTGTAATAAAAATTACCTTGATTATTTAGATTAGCTATCCAAAATCCTTACTTGATGTTTATCCCAGTAGATCAGTATTTGATTGATTCCGGCTTCTGCTACCAAATCAGCAAAATCAAAGTATTCACACACCCCAAATTTCTGAAATAATCAATTATTTTCCGATTAGTTTTTTAGGCGTTAGACCTTACCTGAGCACCCGATTAACACCTAGCGCATTCTCGAACAGATGTTTATGTGATTTTTTGTGAACTTTTGTCTTTTGGACTTGTTTCAGTACTCATATATAATAATCTTCAAATGAATACACTGCTAAATTACAATAGATGTATTCTTCAAATTTCCATTTTTAGTTAGAGACTTATAAAGAAATATAATAATGTAAAAAAAGAAAATATAAAATATTTTTGACTATTCATAGAATTCTTACATCTCTTCAATAAGAATATAAAATAAAAGTTATTTATATGGTGTCAACCACTCTTTTTATTTTTCTTAATTAAAGTAAAAAGAAAAAAAATCATTTGATGATCTGTCATTTACAAAATTTCAGATTGTGTTTTTGGAATATATTTGGATTTATTTCTTTAATCGGTTTATGCATGCATTGGAGGCCATAGAGTTTGAAATGTGGAAGAAATTGAAAAATAAATTTCCTTTAAATTCTTGACAGCCTTTTTAATTTGATAACACTCATATGTTTTGACAGCTTTTTAACTTATTAGTATTTCCTTTTATTTTCTTAACAGCCTTTTTAATTTAATAATATTTTCTTTTAATTTTCTTAATAGCCTTTTAAAATAATACACATATATTTTGATGTATATGTATTAAACATCATTAATAATATAGGTATGCATGAAAATTATAGAAATAATAATTAAGTGATTTGTTTGACAGCCTGATTAAGTTATGGGAAAATTTTAAAACTACACCTTTTGAGGTACCAATTTTCAAATTTCTCGACTTAGTTAAGGAATTTAAAGCATATGGGGAATACGAACAGTGCTTACGAATCAAATCCCTTCAAGTACATTGTTTGTATGGTATCCTTCAACTACTTCAAAGATGGAGTGGAGATATCCGAGATAATTAATGCTTTAAATTCCTTAACTGAGTTGAGAAAGTTAATTACTGCTTGAACCTTAATAGTTAATACCTTATCAACGATGGAGAGGATATATCATAGATAATGTTATGGACTTGACTCTTGAGCCACTTTGCCCTCAGAGAGCTACTTCGCTAAAAGGTATAGCTCTAACGTTTTTTATTCTCTTTTACCTAACTCTTTTATGCGCTTTTTCAAGTTAGACACATACTCGTGCTTCGTTGAAACATTATGAGTTGGGCTTGCGAATGTCAGTTCAGAACCCCATATCTTGTTTTTCAAATTTAGTCAAGTTATTTAACAAAATCTGTTCCGATGTTTTTTTAAATGATTTTGGTACTTCGCTTTAGGTAGAAAAACTTTTTGAACTTTAACTCGTTATAATGCAACTAACGTATGTTGTGAATTGTGATCATCTAGTTGAACCAATTAAGCTGAATATTGGGGGATTTTAATGTGAAATCGAAAGTTTAGAAGTTGCTCATGTATATTAAAAAAACTGTTAAGGCTATATCGCTACGATATAGACTCAGTAAATTAAAGCACACTCGAGTTTATTCCGCATCATTTTAGAATTTCTGCTTTTACTTTGTGACGGCTATCTCAATTTTTAATTTTGTCGACGGCTATACACATTTTTAAAAATTGAGATTATGTCAAGTGTTAGTTTTGTAAATTTAAGATAAGTTTCGTGAAACGATGTGACGAAAGCCGATACGAATAGCAAGAAACTGTAGATGTGGGTTCCGTTTACGGCTTGGTATGTGGAGAGTAAGTAGGTCATGGCCGCCATATTTGAGTCACGTGTTCACCTACTTTCTATGTTGTTCTGTATCTGTGAGTCAGAGTGTATATATAACTTCTTATATAGTTATATTATCTCCGAATGAGATTTTAATTTATATATAACATAGAAGTGCACATTTACAAGATTTGTATTTGCGTATTTGCACACGCAAGCAATTGTGATTTGTGCCGCTACACAGCCCTACTTGCTTTTTTTCAATGGCAGCCATAATTGATGCCTAAAGAATAAATCACTAACGTACGCCACATGTTCTTTTAGATCTTCTGGGTTGATTCATAAACATTCATTTGTTGATTATAGACTACATATGTATGACTATGGTTTGGTTCCACCTACTAAGAAGTAGGATGTATTAAAATATTACGCCAATTTTTTGTTCCATCAAACCAAAATCTTTTGGTCTTCGACATAATCAACCCAATTAGGCAATAGCGCTATGATAATCATATCTTTTTATAGTATTATTTCCGTCATCATGTTTACTTGATTCGGAGTATTAATAATCTTATTTGAGGTGGTTAGTGGCACATTCTTTTTTATTTAAATAATAATCAAATTATGCCTAAAGACTTTAATTTGAATAATTCTTTTTTTTTACAATTGCAACCAAATAGATATGTGGTTACTATCTTATACATATGTATGAGAAAATTATAAAGATTAAACTGCTTTTATTGTTTCTTTCAGAAAATTAAGGGGTGTATCTATGAATAAAGGAGAAGTCGGGGGCCAAAATGGAAAATAGTACTATTGTAACCATTTCCTTTATCGCTTTCCTCGTTGA